TTTGAGCGACTGAACCAGTTCAGGTAGACATCATTATTGGATGCTGAGGGAAAGATCTTCTTGGCCATTATGGTCAAGCCTCGAAGTTGTTTCTTAGTGGCCTGCCAAGCATTCAGAAAAGTGGTCTCCCAAGACATCATGGGGTACATATAGCAGCATAAGCCAACTGTGAAGGAAGCCAAGAAAGAGAATCAGTAGTTTTGCTGGACAGAAGGCCTACCTAGTGTCCCTCACCAACTGATACTAGAGGTACAAGTTCACTTTCACGTACCAAAACCAACAGATGTAGTCAATCTGACAATGGGAAACACAAACTCCTTGAAGCTGCACAATACATTTTGCAATTATACCACTTATTAGCAGAGTTCGGAGAAAGGCATAGTGGCAGACTGCCCTGTATCAGTAGTTCTCTTCGTAACATCCATGAACCTACTGCTAAATGCAGGGATGATGCAGTGTAATGTTCCACAAGCAAATGAAGGTGCAAAACACCTACCATACAGAGCTTCCATGGATGACATCACAATTATGACCAGTTCAGTAGTGAGTACCAGATGGGTTCTATTAGCTATGTAAAGAATGGCAAACTGGACTTGCATGAAGTTAAAAGCCTACCAGGTCAAGAAGCATGGTTTTGGTCGATGGCAAGCTTTCTCCAATGCAGTTCAAAATAATGGGCAAGCAAATACCAACAGTGCATGATAAAAGAATCAAATGTCTAGAGAAGAACTATGACAAAACCTTGCGTGGTTTGAACAATACAGCTGAAGTCTCAAGGGACCTGGACAAGTGGCTTAAAGCCACTGACTCAAGTCATGTATCGGGGCGTTATGCCATTACTCGCCAATTTCAGTGGCCTTTCCAGATTTACGACATTACCTGGGAACCCTCACTTCAGCAATTCTTGAAATGGAATGACCTATAGTCCATGGACCGAGGGGAGTTCAATTTCCTATTAAGAGCTTTCCTTGACCTGGTCTCAACTCCATCAAACCTCAGACTTTGGGGCAAGGAAGAAACTGCCAACTGCCCCAAGTGCATGGCAACTGAATGACACGTACATTAAATCATATACTCAGTATTTGGGTTACAGCTCCCACTGATGGACAATACAGATGGCGTCATGATTGAGACTGAGGATGCCTATACTTTGATCTGGGCCTATCTTCAATATCTATCTTGCGTTTCTTTGATCTGGGCATTATTAACCACTACCACTTCTAACATGTCTCATCAGATTGACTTTTGCATATGTGACAATAAAATAGCCTGACTTGTATTGTGCTGTCATATTGGAATTACACTATCATAATGAACACATCATGTACTCGTAAGCGGTGCACACAAGCTGCAAAATTTGGCCAACATTTCACCAATAAGCAACATTGAGCTCTATCTACATGACTCTGCCAGAGCAGCTTCAGTAGGGTGTTCCAGAATATGGCTTTTTCATGCTAGCAAGATGCAGTTCAGCCCAGATGGGCTCTTGATAGTAAAGTTTAAGCTGAAAAAATTTCGGTTCCTAAAATCGACGTTTGACCCCCCCCCCCCTACCGACGTTTTTGCGAAAACTGGTAAAAAACGGCAAAAAACGTCATTTTCTAGCCTTACAAGGTAAAATATGAAGGATGGATGTCAGAAACCTTGTCAAAATCATTAGGTTATGGTCATTATGTATTATCATACAGTTGAAAACATAGTATACCTTGTTCATTAATTATTTAACCCTTTTCCTACTAATATTTGAGCGAAAATCGCAAATATATCACATTTTGAAACAAACTATTTGCTCTTTTACTGTTATTCATATGGTAGCTTATCTCTAACTACTAAACTCCATCAAACTGGTAATACTGATGGTAATAACAATTAGATAAATGGTACTGCAAGGGTTAGCACTGTAAACCATATTTTAGAGTCCTGGTTATAAGGTGATCATGCATTCATTTAGATAATGGTTTACACTGAATTAGTTCCACCCATGTACTCATAAATGATCTAACATGTTATAATAACAATGTCTAATGTCTACAGATTATTCTGCATTTCATTTTTTAGGAATGCAGGGATCTTGGCCCTATGAGAGGAAGAAACAAGAATCATTCTAGCCCTCATAGTGCCATCACGGGCAGCATTGGCGTAGTCTTGTATGTCTTTTACGCTCCTCTCTGCAGCGTCATTAACCACATACAGATTATGCACAATAGCTGCTAATGTAATATATCCTTGATGTGTAGCCCACTGGTTGATGGGTAGATTGAGCCAAAGTTGTATCCCCATTTGTAAGATCAAATAACAACCAAGATCTTGGCCCTAAAAAGTCAATAAATTCTTGGTTGGGCTGAATGAGTATATCAGTGTGGAAATCTGGCTTCCCAGGGTTGAAGACATTTGGTCTTTGGATTCCCAATATATGTCTTGCCATACTTTTCTGTGTGATGTCATCCAGGCCATCATCAAACAGGGCAAAGACTACCAGGGATTCAGTGAGGTACCATTGGTGTCTGAGTATGGAGGATTTCACTTCCTGGGCTATCTCATTATCTACATCCTAGAATATATTAGAAGTTTTTTACTTATTGACCTGCATGTTATGAATACTCCAATATTTTTTACTTATTACAACTGTAATATGCACAACTGTATTTGACATCACACGGGAAAGTATGGCAAGACAAGGGTTAAATAATTAATGAACAAGGTATACTATGTTTTCAACTGTATGATAATACATAATGACCATAACCTAATGATTTTGACAAGGTTTCTGATATCCATCCTTCATATTTTACCTTGTAAGGCTAGAAAATGACGTTTTTTGCCTTTTTTACCAGTTTTCGCAAAAACGTCGGTAGGGGGGGGGGGGGGGGGTCAAACGTCGATTTTAGGAACCGAAATTTTTTCAGCTTAAACTTTACTATCAAGAGCCCATCTGGGCTGAACTGCATCTTGCTAGCATGAAAAAGCCATATTCTGGAACACCCTAAGCTTCAGCCTTTGAAGTTGACATTAGTGTTTAGAAGGTAACATTTTGAACAAGAAGTGCCCCCCCCCTTTTCAGTTACATAATCGTGTGAAGTGTCAACACTTAATTTCTTATAGTTTTTCCAAAATTTCGATTGCAAATATGTTCAAAATTAATGTACCTATATATTCAAAATCATAAATGCTCATGAATAACCAAGACTTTAACCCAGATGGAGAGATATTGGTCGTTACCATTGAAAAAAGCCAAAAATGATAGAAATTGTCACATATTATGCAAATGGGAAAGTTTGCATGATTATTGCATTTTTATAAGTATATTATAATACAGGTAGCTCCATTTTAGTACCACTTACAGCTTTCAATTCTCAAAACTGTGGAAGGTATTGTGCGATGCCGTTGTAAAGAGGCAAACATTACGATTAATGATGTCACATTTTATGCAAATGAGACTATTTGCATAATTATTAATCTCATAATATGGGATACTATAATAGCTTCATTTTGGTACCACTTACAGCTTTCAATTCTCAAAACTGTGGAAGTTATTGTACTTTGAAATGATTAACATCAATTCTTTCGCAAGAAGTGCCACGCCCCTTTTCAGTTACATAATCATGTGTCTGACAATGTTTTTCCAAAACTTTCAATTGAAAATATGTTCAAAATTAATGTACCTATATATTTAAATTCATTTATGTTCATGAATGACTAAGACTGATCACTCAGGCGGAAAGGTATAATGCAATACCGTTGTAAAGAGGCAAGAATTATGATTGATGATGTCACATTTTATGCAAATGAGGCAATTTGCATAATTATTGCATCTGATAATTTAGGATACTATAATAGCTTCATTTTGGTACCACTTACAGCTTTCAATTCTCAGAACTGTGGAAGTTATTGTACTTTAAGATAATTAACATCAACTCTTTCAAAAATTCAAGATGGCCGACAAGATGGCCGCCAATGTATACCATGGGACAATATTTCATTCTGGGAACATGCAAAAATCTTTAGTATGGACCTTTAGGATTACAAAAATGTACATTAAAAAAATACATCTTTCGGGTGCATGGGAACCCCTCCTTCCTACCCGTCTATTTGGTGTGATAGCTATATTTTTGCTAACTCGTTCATAAGCAGTCTTTAATACGTTCTTAGTCAGTTTAAACCCGTTTGCAATTAGTTCTACCTCGTTCTCAATACGTCCTCAGACAGTTCAACTCGTTGTAAAAACGTCCCTAGTAGGATTGAAGTACGACGGTTCCGTTCGTAGTACGTCCAGCTCGTCGTTAGTACGTTGTCACTCGTTCTAATTGTAGAACGTGACGACCACGAGAACATTTTGAGCATGTTCTAAGTTCTAGAGGACCTACCCGTTCGAGTACGTTCGATGAAGTTTTTAGATAGACCCCAAACGGTTCTAAGTACGTCCAGTCCGTTCGTACACAGTTGAAGCCCGTTTTCGAGAACGTAGTGAGAACTAGTTTGGTGTGATAGTAGGGTAAGCAGTGTTAAATACGTTCTTAATCAGTTTAAACCCGTTTGCAATTAGTTCTACCTCGTTCTCAACACGTCCCCAGACAGTTCAACTCGTTGTTAAAACGTCCCTAGTAGGATTGAAATACGACGGTTCCGTTCGTAGTACGTCCAGCTCGCCGTTAGTACGTTGTCACTCGATCTGATTGTAGAACGTGACGACCACGAGAACATTTTGAGCATTGTCTAAGTTCTAGAGGACCTACCCGTTCGATGAAGTTTGTAAATAGATCCCAAACGGTTCTTAGTAGGTCCAGTCCGTTCGTACACAGTTGAAGCCCGTTTTCGAGAACGTAGTGAGAACTAGTTTGGTGTGATAGTAGGGTTAACGATCTCTTTCATATTTTGTACAACTTTCTAGCGATACCCTTAGGCTTCTTTATAGAAATTTTAACATATTTGATTCATTAATTGCTGAGAAAATACTTATCAAAAAGTGTAACGCTTTTTGGGGACACAATGTTTACTCAAACATGCTTTCCTATTATTTAGGGATTGAGCTTTCTGATTCATTGATAATTAGTCCTCACAAAGGACTGAATCTTCCTTGGGGTTCATGCGCATTATTGGTGAAACACGGGGCCTACCTACATGCTGCAATGACCCTAGATTTTCAAGGGAACTGCCTCGCAGACACACAGCATGATCATTACAGCCCGAGTGAATATTCCCTGGAGTTGAGCCGTCCATTCCGTGCTCTTCCACTGTGGCTAACCCTGAGATTATTAGGGACTTCTCATTTTGAGGATTGCATTAGAGAAAAGATGGCGCTAACAATGTTTTGTTACGAAGAATTGAAGAAAATTCCAGATATTGAAGTTGGACCTGTGCCAGAACTCTCAACTGTTGCATTCCAGTTGAAGTCTAAGGATAATAAAGGACTGGATGAACTACTGACAAAAATAAATCAAGATGGTCGATTATTTTTGTCCTCCACCAAAATTGATGGGGAATTGTACATTAGGCTGAATCTGAATTCAATATCAACGCATACAGCCCATGCCAAGAAAGCTTTGAAAATCATCAAGGAATTTTTGAACAGATCCTAACAATTGATATACAAAATGTTCCCACCTGTCATTTGTTACAGACACTGACCGTTGAACGCCTGATACACACGCCAAATGTTACAGATGCCAAACGCCGAACTACAGAACACCATCCTCAAAAAAAGTTGGGAGATTATAACAATATGTCACCACTTCTGGTGGTGAATTATATTTACTATCTCCATGGTATCAATCAATCACATGTATGCATATTCACTTAAAGGGCCAGTAGTTATGATAGGTAAAGCATACAAGACATAATTGAGCCATTCTTTCTGCAATTTTTAAAGGTTGAAAAAATTGTAGGTGTAAAAAGTGAATTATTGCATTTTAAAATTGAAGAACATGAACTTGTATATTTACTTTGGAATTTGTCATGTTGATGAGGAATCTTTCAAACTGTGAAATTTACAGAAAAGTTTGTACCAAAGTCTATTTATTACAAGTAATTGTACATGTAAAAATACATTTTGGGGTTATTTGGGAACAGGATTACATATATACACCTTACTATTATATTCACTTTAACATTGTCAGTACAGTATTGGCAAAATTTTACTTTTGAAATATGGAATAAATAATGTAAATAGAAATTATTTACCTGTTTTCATTATTAAGGTGGCTCTTAAATAGATTCATTTTCGAACAGTAATACAATGTATACCCACGCAATTAGAGTGTACATGCAAGCTCAGATCAAAGATCAAGTTAAATATAAGTCGGATTGACATCCTACTAGTCTCACCTCAAGAAATTCATTTTGTAGTAAATAAGTGAATTTTTTCAATCATCCATTTTCCCCATCATTGAAAAGGTCTCCCAACTACTAGGTTCTGAGCCCATGATTCCAAATCTGATGCTTGAATCCCAAGTTCCATAGGTCCTACATGTATTTATTCATGACGTGGCTAATTCAATTTCTATTTCCCATATTAATTGGAATACATGTAGTTTGTCATATTCAGCACATTTGGGGGTTCCCCCACCTGGCCAAAAATTCTTTCAAAATCATGCAGTTTTTTATCATTCTTGGCACTTTTAAGTGATTTTGGCCATTTTTGGACCAAAATTGTCAAAAGTGACCCCCCCTGGAATATTTCAAAAACTGAACCCCCCTTGGCAAATCCTGGCTACGGGCCTGATATCCAAATACATGTGGATATTAGCCTTGGTGACTATAAACTGGTTATTGATAAAGATCTGATTTGGCAACATTCTGCAATTCACCAATGAAGCAATTTACGGTCTCTTGAAGGAATCCATGAACTATGTATTTGTATAATTTGTAATTGTATATTACTATATTTAGTCCACTCATTCTTTAAGACATTATGTAAAACATGCTATATTTGTGATTTCAAAGTTTACAATTGTGAGCCCATCTTGGGAAAGGAATCACATCTCTTATATTTTGAAGTCCTAATATATTCTGTAAATATCGTTCAAATCCCATCCCAAACCCTGCATGAGGTGGACATCCAAACTTCCTTAGCTCAAGGTACCTGCAAAACAGAAAAATGTGTCGGGGAAATAGAGGAAAATAAATAATGTCTACAGGGTGTCAAGTAGATTAAGATACAAATTACAGGGTGTCAACAAACAAAGTTACTAAGGAAAATTGTGTACAGGGTGTGCATTAATAAAGTTACAGAGCGAACATATTTACAGCATGTTCTGACAGAGCAAGAATGTTTACAGGGTGTCAACTAACATATTGTGTACAGGGTGTCCATTAATAAAGTTACAGAGCAAACATATTTACAGCATGTTCTGACAGAGCAAGAATGTTAACAGGGTGTCAACTAACATATTGTGTACAGGGTGTCCATTTAGAAAGTTACAGAGCAAACATATTTACAGCATGTTCTGACAGAGCAAGAATGTTTACAGGGTGTCAACTAACATATTGTGTACAGGGTGTCCATTAATAAAGTTACAGAGCGAACATATTTACAGCATGTTCTGTTAGAGCAAGAATGTTTACATGGTGTCAACTAACATATTGTGTACAGGGTGTCCATTAATAAAGTTACAGAGCAAACATATTTACAGCATGTTCTGACAGAGCAAGAATGTTTACAGGGTGTCAACTAACATATTGTGTACAGGGTGTCCATTTAGAAAGTTACAGAGCGAACATATTTACAGCATGTTCTGACAGAGCAAGAATGTTTACAGGGTGTCAACTAACATATTGTGTACAGGGTGTCCATTTAGAAAGTTACAGAGCAAACATATTTACAGCATGTTCTGACAGAGCAAGAATGTTTACAGGGTGTCAACTAACATATTGTGTACAGGGTGTCCATTTAGAAAGTTACAGAGCGAACATATTTACAGCATGTTCTGTTAGAGCAAGAATGTTTACAGGGTGTCAACTAACATATTGTGTACAGGGTGTCCATTAATAAAGTTACAGAGCAAACATATTTACAGCATGTTCTGACAGAGCAAGAATGTTTACAGGGTGTCAACTAACATATTGTGTACAGGGTGTCCATTTAGAAAGTTACAGAGCGAACATATTTACAGCATGTTCTGACAGAGCAAGAATGTTTACAGGGTGTCAACTAACATATTGTGTACAGGGTGTCCATTTAGAAAGTTACAGAGCGAACATATTTACAGCATGTTCTGACAGAGCAAGAATGTTTACAGGGTGTCAACTAACATATTGTGTACAGGGTGTCCATTTAGAAAGTTACAGAGCGAACATATTTACAGCATGTTCTGACAGAGCAAGAATGTTTACAGGGTGTCAACTAACATATTGTGTACAGGGTGTCCATTTAGAAAGTTACAGAGCGAACATATTTACAGCATGTTCTGACAGAGCAAGAATGTTACAGGCTGTCCAGGAAATAAAGTTACATGAAGAGAATGATGGTATTTTGGTGCAAGTGTGCTCACATTAGGGATTTCATAGTCATGAAAATATTGAAAATTAAGTTGAAGATAATAAAAGACAGGATGTTCAAGATGTAAAAAGATGTAAATCTGACCCTTATTATCATAAAATTTTATAAATACTACTGTTGACACAGAAGGTCCATAAATAAGGTCAATGACACATTTATATTATTTAAAAAAAATAAATAAATTTTTTCATTGCACGAGCCATTAATATAGAATCAAATACCACCTACCAATTTAGTGACTTGAGTTTATCTATTTGTTTGAGTTCTGTTTCAAGCACATCATATCTTTCTTCTCGTAAACTCCCTCCACATAACTCCCCTACTTCAGGGACTAGGAGATCCACACATGCCACCTATTTCAACACAATATATTATAGTACAAAGTAAAACATTTACTACTGTAATTTATATACTGAATAGCCATTTCTTATAATAATCTATATGGTATTTTCACAATTTTAAGGATACTTAAGACGATTTTTGTAAAATCCTTCAACATTATATAAATTTGAACACCTGCCTCTCATATAAGACTATAGATTAAATAAATGACAAACTTTTAAAAATAGGATTTTAAGAACAGCCCCTATAGATAAAAGGTTCATTATAACCTTATGCTAAAAAATTAAGTTCACAGTAACTTACAGTTTGCCCATCATCATTTTGTCTCATGTAAAAAGGTTTCAGTTGTTTGGGGAAATGTATAAGGAAGACAGGTATATTGCCACAGTGTTTCACCAGGAACTTCTCATGTACTTTATGCAGATCATCGCCCCACTAAAACAAAAGAAAAGTAGAACTACCTGTAGTATCTATAAAACAATACTAATTAAATCAGTGTATTCATAAAAAGTTTTAATGAATACATAACTATATTAATCCTGTCTAGTCAAAACACTACAAAGACTTTCAAAATGTGTTTGAACTGGCTAGTATTCACAACGTTTTATTGCAAATTATGAAAATGGTTTTACTGCATGGTATACCTACCTTGATTTGAACATCAAAGTTGTCTCTTTTATCATGTAGTATATCTATAGCCTCACAATATGGCATTCTGGAAGTAACAATGACAGGAATGTAAAATATGTAGAAGCAATCTACAGTATTTCTATGACTTTCAATTGAGAGACACGTCACTGTAAACTGTAGCCTATTTTGTATTGTCCAATATCTTCTTGCGTTTGACATGTTGAGCTTTAACACATGTTCAATCTAGTCAAATTGGATGATGAAACGACCTTTTTGTGGTAATTGAATTAGCTGAGTGGTCTAAAGCACTAACATGCTGGGTTAGGTGCTGTTACCGTAACCATGAGGTTATGAGTTTGAGACATGTCACTGGTGATCCACTCGATTACGCTGGTTACCAAAACGAACCGTTTTGGTAACAAGATGTCGGAACGTCGAAGGCACGATTTTTCTTTTTTCCTTATTTCACGCGTTGTAGGCAGAATCCCCACGACGTTTTTTCTCACAACGTGCATCAGTATCATATGTTTTAGAAAATGTACATGTTTGCGAAAAAATAGCTCAGAGGACAACAGAATCGTCGATTTACTTCCTCACTTAAGTTACATAAACGGTTTTTCGAAAAACAGTTAAGATCTGCACTTTTAACCCAAACCGTTTATGTAACTTAAGTGAGGAAGTAAATCGACGATTCTGTTGTCTTCTGAACTATTTGTTCGCAAATATGTACACTTTCTTAAACATATGATACTGATACACGTTTGTGTTAAAAATGTCGTGGGAATTCTACCTACAAGTGTAAAATAAGGAAACGAGAAAAATCATACCTTCCGGATGTTCCGACATTTTGTTACCAAAACGGTTCGTTTTGGTAACCAGCGTAATCGAGTGGATCACCAGTGCATGTGAGCTCCTTACGTTTATTCATTCTTGGATATCTAATTCAGAACATGCATTTCAATACAACTTAGTTTCATAGTTTCAAGAAGAGTAAACAAAGAACATTAGGAAAGGGGTTCATGAAAAGTTTGTTTTAACAAATGTTTACCTTATAAATGTGTTTTCTAATGCTGGTTTGATATTTGTTTCCTGAAAGTAAATAAAGCATTTCTGTATCATGTTTTTATTGAAAAGTGTATGTGCTCTTTCGAGATACCTTACATGTACTTCAACAAAAAGATTTATTCAGCCACTGACTGTATGCAGCATTGGAATAAACTACAGACTTCAGTTATATTGCAGGAATAACTATAATTGAAGAGTAAATGTAGCCAAGTAGGGCAAGCTAATTCTTAGACACATGTAAAAAAAATCCAGAAAAAATTCTCAAAGAATAAAGATTTTAGAGACATTTTTTGAAAATATATGGATAAACTGATTATAGTATCTCAATATTTTACACTCTCTATCCCTTTTAATTCCTTTACTTTGAAAATATAAGGATACACTGATTAAAGTATCTCAATATTGTGCTCTCTCTATCCCTTTTAATTCCTTTATTTAATGAACTTACATAGTGATCAGGTTGGGAGAAGTGTTTGTAATAATAACCACTGATGTCCTCTGTACAGCTTTCCAAGAGACTGACACTTGTCTTCTTGTAGAGATCCTCCATAATCTAAAAAGCAACAATTATTGGCAGATTCATGGTTAGTTAATATACATGGCTACTTCTAATCTAATTCAACGTTTAAAAATTCAATTCTATATCCAAAAGAAATTTTTCAAAATGTTTTCAAATCATTTTTCATAATTAAGTTATCATACAATATTTATCATATATTGTTTGATTTTAAATGATCCAAGAAAACTAAGTCACGTCATTAAATAGGAAAACAGGGCAATATTTTAAAACCAACACTGATTTGGGATTGAAGTCCCTCCACTTTTAAGGGTCAGTGAAAATAGAAATATACTTTAAACACTACCATTTACATTTCCTATAATACATCATAAATCTTTGTAAATACCATTATGTGGCACCCAGTACTCCCTCTTGGGGGTCATAGCTACAATAACTTGTATGAAAGAAATGAAAGAAACACCAATGATAACAAGGCATTAACATGCAAAATGTCACCACCTGCCATTTGTAAGAGACTCTGTACACCAATCACCATCCACAAGAAATTTGGAGACTATAAAAATATATTGTCAATTTTAAAAGAATTAAAATGAAAATAAGCCTTACCACCATTATATCCTCCAAACATGATGTAAATGCAACCTCTGCTTCTATCATGTAAAACTCAGATAAGTGGTGCCTAGTTTTTGAGTTCTCAGCTCTGAATGTTGGTCCAAAGCAATAAGCCTTTGATATAGCCCTACAAGCAAATAATGAGTATGACTTTTTATATATGACATGCAACCTTGTTTTTAGAATAATCAGGCCTTGATGTATTCATTTTTTCAGTCCTAACAATTTGTTTCACATTTAATTTAAGTATCTTGCATACCATATAATCTACCTGAAAAATTGCAAACTAGGAAGATTTGTCCTCTTATATAGAGGCAGCATATTTAGCTAACTAGAAGGACTATGGCACCAATAATAAATTACCCTGTCACAACCTCCAGATGTAACTGGCCAGATACTGTGAGATACGTTGGTGCACCAAAGAATTCTGTTTTCGCGACGTCCTTTCCATTGGTCTTTTTCTTATTAATGCTGTCATCCTTTCCCTAGAATTAAAGATAAGGTACACTTAAACATTTAAAGGGAACTAAAAATGATTGTTATGTATGGGTCCTGCATGTATATGTACACAAAATTATATCAAAACAATTTTTCTGTTTTCTACATGAATCTACATCAACACTGATATTTATCAAAATATTATACATTTATGGAATGTAACTTTTTTCAAGTTTCGCATTTCTTGCTAATTTTTAAAATAAATTCAATGACCTTGCACTTCATGGATGGTCACTTTCTATGCATCATTATTTACCTCCACAGTGAAGAGCTCTCCTGCTCCCTCACAGTCATTGGAAGAGAGAATAGGCGTGTGTATGTGACAGTAGCCAGAATCCTGCAAAAAGAGTGCATTTTAAAAACAAGTTAACTACTCACTGTGACACCGATCACATTACCTCATAAAACAACAGCAGCTTGGATGACCAAGGAATCTGAGGCTCTGAACAAAATCCTATTAATTAACACAGTAAAAAGATATAAGACTTAGATTTAAAGAAATAAGACCAGAAGGAGTAGATTGAGTGTTCGAAATGGTGAAAGCAATCTTTTAAAAAATCATGTAAATCCTTCCACCAATTAAAATGTTATTTTATTCTCTGAAAAAAAGAATTAGATATCTGAACAATTAGCTGTTGACATTTGGCCATTAACCTTTACATTTGTGACTGTATTTTGAAGTACATACTTGGAAGTATTGGTTTATAATGCAATTTGCTTGATTGCGTATCCTCAGCAGTGATGCAAATGCGTCTGTTTTGGGCCTCAAATGTATATGATCCCTTGTATTGCTCAGTGGTGGCCTTGGCTGCTTCTTCTTGAATGGGAATTGCTGCAAAGGAAACAAACAAGTGAATTTTATAAGTAAAATACTATATAATTTTTGCTTATTAAGGAGTTTTGTACGTATGCATGCAATGTAGTTTAAACAAATTCTTGAGCAGAAGAATTTGGATGCAAATGTCATAAAGATAAAAAAAATTTTGGCTTGTACATGTTATAGTCATTTGAGTAGCCTATTATTTATTCTAATATGATAAGTGACATCACAATAGCTAGAACAATTGATTTACTGGTCTATATTGTAGGTATGACCGCTAAAATTCATAAATGCAAATAGTTACGCTACGGGATTTCAGTCTTTTAACAATGAACAGAATAAAACTTTTGGTCATATATCACCACATAAATCATAGAATCTCGGTCTTTATTCCTTGATTGTATCCTGGACTTACCACTGGGTCATTTTGACCTATGACCTCTATATTTTCAGCCTTAATCTCCAGTCTTTGTCCAGGATGGTCACTCTCAGTGACAACTCCCCTGACTTTGACACAAGATGCAAATGGAGCATCTGATCTAAAACACAAGAAAATGTGAATACAGTGTCTTTAATATCACTGGTGCTAAATTTTGCTGATGAGTACTTTAAAAAATATAGCTAAAATTTTCACTGATAGATTTCCCGATAATGTGCTTAAAACCAATGAAAATGATTGTTCAGAAAAACTGCACAATGGAAAACATACTAATTATTTTCACTTATACACGACGTGAAACATGTATATCAGAACATCTCTCTAATCCATACACCTCCCAATTTGACTGGTTCAATTAAAAACCTTAAACTGTGAACACCTCCAAATTTGAACAGTGAACAGTCAAGTTGAAAAATTAAACTGTCTAATGTGAATACTGTTCTACAGTCAATTATTGTGCATTGCCTTGATTCGTTACAATGGGAATTAATTTTTGAAGATACAATTTTATCCACATAGCTTCTCGAGATGGAATTAAATGGATGATTTATTGAGTACTGCATTCCTGTGATGGAGATGCTTCACTTACTTGCTACTCCCTTCCAAAACAATTTGGAGATTGGTAAGACAGGAGCCATCATTGATGTGGAAAAATGAGACAGCTTTGTGTGTTCTTTTAAATTTGACCCATCCCTGAAATAAATTGAGAAGTTCGACATTAATATGGTCAATGAAGGTACAAGTACATCTAACTACTCAGATGCGAGTAGGAAGTTACCAGTTTCGCCACCAGGTGGCTGATTCGGGGGAAATAACATTGCAGGGTATTACAAAATTCCCTAAAACTTAAATATGCATCAGTTTTAGTGGTTCACTTTTCAAATTACCCTTATGTATGTGATAGTTATACAAATTAAAATATTCCCAGTAAAAGAAAATATTATCTGCCCAACACAAGAAAAGATATTTCATTTCATCTCCCCGACCTAGAAATCACATTTTCAAAGAAAATCAAATTTTCAAAGTTGATAAACTCTTTTCAAAACCACATTTTTAGACGTAATTTTATATGTAGATTCCAAATATGACATCAGTTTGACTTGTGAATTGTGAATTTTTAATGACGTAAATCAAGATTATTTCTACTCGCATCTAGGATATTGGGGGTTTGAATTCCAACTCGCGGAAATACAGATACATGTATGGATTACATTGGATAACTCCAAATCCATTTCTAATTTACACACAGTAATCTAAATAGGATAGAAAAATGAAATGCTAACATAGTATCAAAAAGACAGTTACAAATTACTGTCATCCAAGATAAAAAGATCAGCCTCTGAAGTGTTTTTCAATTTAGAATTCATTGTAACCCCCCCCCCCCAGTCACTGTATCCATAATGTAATGTTTTCTAAGTAATACATAGTGAGCAGGGGTGGATGTGGGAACCAACTAGTGGGGGGGGGCCCAAATTTCAGGTTAGAAAAAAATTAGGGCCCCTAAAATCCAAACGTGGGCCCAAATTTTGAGGCCAATTTTTTACATAATTTGGCCTGAAATGAAAAAATAAGGCCTTAAAATGCCCAGTAATGACCAAAAGGCCCACTTTTTGGGGCCTTTATTCGTCGGCCCTTTTTTCTGGGCCCACCCAAGGCCCCCCCCAGATCCGCCAGTGGTGAGTGGGAGGGGGATGAACTCTTGTTCTAGTGTCTGTGGCACATGCTATCTATTGCAAGACTTATGCCTGGCACAACCGTCACCATGTTATTAAGTTTTTTTAAGTTTCGCAAGGATCCTGCCATGACCGTGGTATTGCTATCATAAAAGCCTGGTATAACCGTGACAATGCTATATTATAATGCAAGGGCTGTCATGACCGTGGTAATGTTAAAGCCTTATATGACTGTGGCAATGGTTGTAAGGCCTAAATGTAAAGCTACTAAATGTCACTTAATATAACTATTGTCATGGTGTAGGCTTTTACATTACCATGGTTATGAAAGGCCTTGCAACCATTGTCACGGTCATATCAGGCTTTAACATTACCACTGTTATGCCCCTGTTATGACAGGCCATGCAATATAATATTATAGCATTGTCACGGTTATACCAGGCTATCATGATAACACTACCACGGTCATGACAGGATCTTTGCGAAACTTAAAAACACTCAATAACATGGTGACGGTTGTGCCGTGTGAACATCAATCACATGCTATCTATTGCAAGACTAACGCCTGGTGTAACCGTCACCATGTTATTCTGTGTTTTTTAAGTAGCGCAAGGATCCTGCCATGACCGTGGCAGTGTTATTTTGTAAGCCTGGTATAACCGTGACAACGCTGTATTATATTGCAAGGATCCTGCCATGACCGTGGCAGTGTTATTTTGTAAGCCTGGTATAACCGTGACAACGCTGTATTATATTGCAAGGCCTGTCATGACCGTGAGTGTTATCGTGGAAGCCTGGCGCGGCCGCATTTACGTTTAATTTAAGAATTTTTTATTGTTGTTTGTTAAGCGATTTGTTTACTATCCACTTTTAAATATTTGTATATTTTATGTCTCCGGTCTAAATTGTTTATTAGCGTGACACAAATAACTTGTCTTATTCTGTGTAAATGATTAATTATTTTACAATATGCGAAAATAATGTGAATATAATGTCTAGTAGTAATTTTGATATTAACATAATTAAGGTAGTTAAACACCATGATCATATAGTGTTAAACTGTTTAATTGTATTGTATCATTATAATGAAGATCACTTAAAATTGTTTAAGGATATTTCTGACATTAATATGATTCATATTTACAGTGTCCTAGTACAGTCATTGCAATACATTATCACGGACTAAGCCTAAATTTCTACATGACCACCCACATATGTGGCCTTGCAGTACTATATTACATTGTCACGGTCATGGCAGGCCTTGCAATGCTATATTACCTTGTCACGGTCATGCCAGGCTTTGCAATACAGATTGTCACGGTTATGGCAGTCCTATCATAAACATTACATTGTCACTGTCATGGCAGGCCTTGCAATACTGTATTACATGGTCACGGCCATGCCAGGCCTTGCAGTACTATATGACATTGTCACGGTCATGCCCGGCTTTGCTATAAACATTGTCACGGTTATAGCAGTCCTAATCATAAATTATTGCAAAGCCTGTCATGACCGTGGTAATGTTAAAGCCTAATATGACCATGACAATGCTTATAAGGCCTGTCATGACCGTGGTAATGTTAAAGCCTGATATGACCGTGACAATGCTTGCAAGGCCTGTCATGACCGTGACAATGCTATATTATATTGCAAGGCCTGTCATGACCGTGGTAATGTTAAAGCCCCGTATGACCGTGACAGTAGTTGCAAGGCCTCTCATGACCGTGGTTGTATTTAAAGTAGCATGAGAACACTGTAATGAAAATTTTTCTTCGTGTTTAACTACCTTAAATGTGTAAATAAAGACTACTAAAAATGTGTATTAATTTCACAACGAAAACCTAATTTTTACTCATAAATAATTTGCGAACCAACAAATATCTCTACTCTCATTCAAGGAGCTTCGATTCGAAAGCATATACTTTCTATAATGATCAATTAATAAGATTTATTCATAAAAAATACCAACAGCAACGGGCGAAACATGAAGGTCATTAATGTCATATAAAGGTTGCGGTCGCGCCAGGCTTACACGATTACACTACCACGGTCATGGCAGGCATTTTAATATAATACAGCATTGTCGCGGTTATACCAGGCTTTCACGATAACATTACCACGGTCATGGCAGGATCCTTGCGCTACTTAAAAAACACCGAATAACATGGTGACGGTTACGCCAGGCGTTAGTCTTGCAACAGATAGGGTCTCACATCAATCTTAATGCTGTTTATTCACAGTAAGCGTTCAATTGGGAATAATACTAAGTAAAAAGAAAACGTCTTTCCTGTTATTGAGTATTCACTCCCAAGAAAAAATTTGCTGTGTGTGCAAAATAAATTCGGTTCTAACTTACTGACACATCAATTGCCTTTCCTAGAAGTGTCTCATTATCTAATATGTCCTTAATTTGTATTGAATTATATTTCCTTAAATAAACTAGCCTAGAAAATGTTAATTTCTGTTGTAAAAGCTTCTTTAAAATTTTTGACATGGGCGCTGCCATTTTCTTTTCTGCTGAGACGTAACAGTTTTGGTAATCAAAAATACGAACGTCGTATTTTACTTCATTTCTTCTTTTAGCCCACATAAGCTATTCTATGATTAGCCTACATTATATTATATAGCACTTATCGATGATGATCATTTTTATTTCAAGAGTATGATAGCAACGTTTGTTATATTTAAGAAAATGATCTAGGAAATTTTTTGTTTACCTTTTTGGATTCTCCAGTCAAAGTTGACATTTTAGAAAAACGAATCGATGAACAAAAGAATGTCGAACAAATCTTGAAATAAACCATCAGTTACCCGTCTTCATATCAGAATTCCCTTACAGTCGGCTAAATTTTATGGTAAGTTAAAATTAATCAACTTTTCCATCTTGATATTTGTTTTATCAAACGAAGTGTCTGGAGTACCTTAAAATTTAAGGCTCTTTAGCCAAAATGCTAAAGAGCCTTAAAATTTAAGGCTATTTAACTGTGAACATACTGTTTTGGCTAGAGAGCCTTTGTGTTTATAATCCGTGTTTATATTGTTTTTTATTGAAGTTTTCGTCAGCTAAACAATAAAACAACACTCTCGAAAGTTTTTCAACCCAGAATGCCACTTAAAAATTTCACACATGTATATCACTATAAAGTTGCAAAAACATTAGGCTCATCATTGTAGAACACTCTGGTATAGTGGTTAGGGTGCTCGCTTTCCACTCCTCCGGCGTGGGTTCGATTCCCCGGCGGAGCACTTTTTATTTTTAATAACAAGCCGGAAGTTTGTTCTCTGAGGTCCGGAAATTATGTACACAATTTTTTCTAGAATTCTTGGGCTCGCTCCATCGCTCAATCATCAATGTTTAATGAAATTAATCACTTGTATTGGCTTTGCTATAGTCACGAGAATACAGGGAATCCCATTTTAAGATGGCAAAAAGTATGATGAAGACCTGGGGATGAAAAAGGATCTTGTTTCTTCTAGATCAGCACATCTTGACGAAGTTTATCGTGAATGCAGGGACATCAGCCCAGGGACATAACAAAATACACTTCCAAATCTATTGCCCATTAGATTTCAATGCTGATTTTAGAATTTTTCACGTGACGAGATATTTTTGCATAATATTTTCCTCACAAGTGAGAATTTAACCACATGAGAGAGAGCACAAAGAACATTTACAGTACAAGAGGTGAACTGTCGAGGAAACAGCGGCTTATGCAACACAACAACAACATTTTTATCCTAGCCTCCAATCCATCAATAAATGTCTATACATCAAAATCTTTACTAAACGGAAGTTGCGATTTATAGTGGATAAAATGGTAAAAATAACATTTTTCTGGCTATACGTGATTGCCTGGTCTTACACCTTCTCTGGTGAACCAGAGACATATATTTTCGATATATGCATGAACATCAAACAAACAAACATTTACTTTTCAAAATCGATGTTTGAACCTTTAAAAAGCCAAATTTAGACTGAGGATTGAAAACATTCTTTTATTTGTCTCGGTAGACCGGAAGTAAATTTATGAGTCGAGCAAAAAGTGATAATGTTTTTTTATGAAGTGGGGAAGTCAAAACAGTACTAATAGAAGTCATAGTAAGCATTAGAAGATCATTTAAAACCATATAAATCAAATCGACGGCAAAGTTAGTTGAAATGACTGAAATCTTTATATGTTATCTTCTTCATCTTCGCGGACCTCAGAGAAGACACTTCCGGTTTAATAATCAGTGATTTTATCGATCAAAAATTTTTTCTCTTTGAATTTGTCCGATATCTGCTAATATGTATGTATGGCATGTATATTTGTGCTGATTGTTAAATTACAAAATAGGTTGGGTATAGAATATGTCAAAGTCGTTTGATCTTGTCCCAGAAGCAATATTTCGTCATTTCTGTCGCCTGGAATTCCTTAAAGGCTCTTTAGCAGAATTGGCTATCAAAATGCTAAAGAGCCTTAAAATTTAATGCTCTTTAGCCGAAATGTTAAAGAACCTTAAAATTTAAGGCTCTTTAGCATTTTGGCTAGAGAGCCTTAAATTTTAAGGCTCTCCAGGCACGGCCTTTATCAAATGAATGTGGTCACATTGAAGTGTCATGATCTTCAGAATCTGAAAACAAGGTCAAGTCAAACTCAAAGGCCACGCATGATACTGTACATGTAGCCATGTACAGTTCTCCCTATGTACCTATCACCATAAATGCGGGGTTGATTTTCACCCCACAACGACTTGTGTATTGAAATTGAAATCCTGTGGTAAAAATTAGCTGGATCAGTGGCGTTCACTGTGTGCAAAATTCACCGGGGGTCCTGAACCCTCAGATACACGGATAGTGGGAAGTCCTCCATCTAGGAGGTATATACACCAGGTAATGCGAATAAAAATTAAAAGAATATAAAAAAAATATGGTCACCTGTCCTCTAGATTCAATTTTTGAATGAATCTGGCAGGGGTTTCAATAAATATTTTTTCAACAGGCGTTTGGCAATTTCAGCAGGCTGAAATTTTTTCAATCATTCGCCGCTCGCTTCGCTCGCGTTCTACTTCGCTCGCGTTCGACTTCGCTCGGTTTCTACTTCATTTTTGGAGGTGCTCGACTCAATATATTGAAAATAAAAGCATATACAGGGTCCCCATATGTAAAATCATAAAATCAATATTTTCCTGCCACTTTATTGCAAACTGTATATTTGATCAATTGATCTCTTTGACATGTTCATTACTTTATGTGTTTTTTAAATGTTGCCCCTTGTGCTTCCTCACTGTGATGTAAAATATTGAAATCAGTATTTTCCTGTCACTTTAATGCAAATTGTATACAGTATATGAGCAATTGATTTCAATAAGCAGATCAATACATAATTTGATTTTTAATTAACTTTTTACTTGTTAATTAATTTGTGTTTTTCAAATGTTGCCCTTTGTGCTTCCTCAATATGATGTAAGATAATGCCAAGAAGATCAATTGTATTGATTTATACTGTTTATTTCAAGTATATGTGTAACTGTAATAATAGTATCCATTGAAACAAAAGGGGTGGCAGGACATTGCTACTGACTCATTTAGTCTCAATTGATAATGTTTTGGTTTGAGAGTAGGTCAATAAAAATGGTGGCCGAATTACAGTAAGATAATTATCTCAGTGTTTCTCTAAAACACTGCTGATTATCTGCCTATTATACTTACATTTTGCCTTCTCAAGGTAGGTTAATTTATATTCTTTCATTTGACATGACAAACTAAATTGATTTGTCTCATGTGTCAGCAAAATCTCTCATCATTTGAGCCGGCAATTTTTTTCTAATTTTTTTTCTCAAAATTTGAACCGGCGTAACTGGGATTTGAAGCGGCGTTTTCGCCGGCCGCCGGCTGTTATTGAAACCCCAGAATCGTAGCATAATGTACAAATATATCATGCTATTCTTGAAACATTAATATGCAAAAATAACTGGGTCGCTCACCTCTTATGCCTATATGTGTTCAGTAATCATCAATTCTCGTGAGTAAAATTTCTCCAGGCCATTGAATAACCCAGATGCGAGTAGAAATAATCTTGATTTACGTCATTAAAAATTAAAAATTTAGTCAAAGTAATATCATATTTGAAATCTACATGTAAAATTACATCTAAAAATGTGGTTTTAAAAAGTGTTTATCAACTTTGAAAAATTAATTTTCTTTTAAAATGTGACTTCTAGCTCGGGGAGATTCCCCATAGAGCCCATGCTATAAAATCACAAAAAATGAAATATCTATACTTTTAGTGGACAGACAATATTTTGCTTTACTGGACATATTTTCATTAGTATAAGTATCAGACACATAAGGGTTATATGAAAATTGAGCCACTTAAATTGATAATATTCAAGTTTAAGGGAACTTTCTCATATACCTGCCATGTTAATTGACCCGAATCAGCCACCTGGTGGTGAAACTGGTAACTACCTACTCGCATTTGGGTAATTGACAAGTTCTACTGCGCATGTGTGAAACACTGGACGAAATGGTTTGGTAAATTTCAAGCTATTTGATTGGTCGAAAAAATCACCCGCCTTTGCGTGATTCGCTTTATTCTCGCGAGATGAGGCGCTCCGTCCCCTTAAATTTTTATTTTGAACAACCATTATGATTTGGTGCATTATCTGACCAATAAAGCAGATTTGGAGGTACAGTGGGGGACATAAAGAATTACAAAAGCTATGGAAATTACATGCTGTCGCACATGTAATAAATTCTTACCTCAATTTATTCAGTGTTCTATTTTCTCCATCCTAGTAAGTCCAGATATAGTGGAATTTGTGTCCATAATGACAAATAAGAACTTAAAAATTTAAAGTGGACATTCACATGTTAATGCCGACTCTTCAAATGTTGAGGTGACTTTTGAGCCCGATTACGTCGCCAATGTGGGTTGGCTCCCAGAATGCAACATGACACGTGTCAGCTTTCAAAATGCTGTTCCGCCATTTTGAAATCTGTCACAAGTAAATAAGGTTACCTGATGTTGCATTCTGGGAGTCAATCCTCTTTGGATCACAAACATGGCGATTCATGAAAACACTCATTCGATGTGGTAGGGATTTATCCATCATTTGCAGGTATGAAGCTTTGGATTCATTTATTGTGCTACTTAAAGTGAATGGGAATTATTTTTCTACAGCTTGGGAGAGTTTGAGACACGAAACTTAGAATTTAGCTCATTGTGAAAACTTTTGAGGGTTGAGTTTTATTTTTTGTCCCAACTGTATGAATATTTTTTTTATTTTTCTGTTTAGTGTTTTCTACAGGCCCTATGTGTCTCAGGGTATTTGTTTTACGAAAACTAGACAAATAATTTATTTTAAAAATACATATTTTTTATTTTGAATGGAAGCTGCGTAACCTGACAAATAATATAAGTAATATACGGAGGACTTCCCATAACCGTGCTCAGATATCAATATATAGGATATCCTATGATTATGAGAGATACCATTTTTATCCACAAATTAAAATCAATATCTGGATGAGTAAGCGTAGCGAATGAGTGCAGATATTGAAATCAATGAGTGGATTAAAATGATATCACGAAAAAAATCATAGGATGTTCTAATTATCCCATAGTTGAGGTCAAATCATCCCATAGCTCACCTTGTATAAAGCATTTCAGAACAACATTCAGTGTATATTTGTCTTTTGCCAAAGCACTAATCATTTCAAAATTTGTGACGTCATAAAATCATGTAAGAATGCATGTCACAATGGCAGGAGTTTTCAAATCTGTGGAAAAGTTGATATCAGTGGAATATATATCCCAGAGCTTAATCATATTCAATATACTTTTTCAAGATACCAAGACATTTATATTTTTCTAGTACTTGATTTATATATGATCAAAAAAAGGAAGCATGTCGTCAGTGCTCATTTAGAAGTTTTCATGATTTTTATACTAATGAAGCCTTACAGGCAGGGTTGGTTAGCCTCTTAGGTTGCCCATTATCATGGTATGGGATAAACATGATGCAACTGCAGTACAACCATTAGTAATGATAGTTCTGTTTTTTTTTCAATTATGACCTAATGTATCTTGCTAATGATAATGAAATGATCATCGCGGAGAGGTTTAGGCATTAGTGATGGCACATTCAACATTTATTTTCCCCAGTTTAGTTAGCTGCAAGTTTCCATTGCTTCTACCCCAGCTATGATATCAAAGCCATGATCCGGGGTCGCCATATTTAGGCTTGACTAGATACATGATCTATCATTCAGCCTATATAATATATCTGTAACTATAAACATGAGTACAGGTTTTGTAAATGATACAGTAAAATCTGTAAAGTGGAACACCTCTGTAAAAAGAACACCTCTGTAAATGGAACGCCTCTGTATATAGAACACTTTCAGTCTCATGGCCTATTAACTAAATGTTAATTGAATCTGTAGCTGTCTGTACATACAAAATTTCTCAATGGAACATTTTCAGAGGTAGCAAAGGTGTTCCACTTACATGTTGGTTTTACTGTATATGAATGATTGCTTTCCATGATTATTGATAGGAATGGGCGTTAATAGCTTCTCCAGGCATGACAGTGATAGTTTTAGAGGAACCCTCTTGAGAATGATACACTATTTTATTAAGATGGCACCATTCGGTGAAGTCAAATGGTGGTGCTTGTACTAATCTTGAAAGATAGGTCAAGTTGTCATCTACTCTTATGGAAAATTGAATAATTGATCAACAGGGGTCTAGCCAGCAATTGTCAAGGAGGGGGTGCAATTTTAGGGTTTGCATCACTACAATTGAAGCTAGCCCCAAAAAGGGGGTTACAGGGGATTAAAAATTTACATTGTATATGATTTGTATATGATTTGTTAATGTTGTTCAACTAATTTTACAAAATTGCTTTTCCTTTTTTGTGGGGGTTGGGGGGGGGGGCGTAAAATATAAAAGATAGATGTTTTTTTGACAGCCATTTTCTTAATATTTCTACTCAGCAAGAATTCCAGCTTTTTATCTCATGTTATTCAGATAACGTTTTTAGATGGATTAAAAGGACACAGACAGGCCAGACATATACTGTGGTGATGGGTTTTGTATAGATTATGCTACTAACAATTTAAGCTCCAACTTTTGCTACCACTTCAAGATTAACTTAAATGTTTTGTACTTTGTAGAAACTGTTATTTTCAAAGATAAAATATGTTATAGATACATGTCAGTCAGATTATCCCCCATGAACCCTGCATACCATATGAACATGAACCATAGCACGTTATGTTGTCTGAATTCTTCATGAAATTTTATTTCATTCAAAGAAAATTGGTAGGACACATGTCATGATGCAGTATTTTATACTTGTTTTATACAGTTTTCAACCCCTTCATTACATTAATCATACCAGGATTTTTTCTAAAGTTTGTTACTCTTCTCCTAGTACTCCATTTAGATTTGCACAGTACCATAATCATGATACATATGAAATCTCAATGCATAGGTATTAAATATATGTAAAACATTACATTACTATCAAATTCAAATTGTTTTTCAGGCAACCAGGATAAAATAGAAAAGTTATATATTGGAATATTAGAAGTAGAACTAACAATAAAGTTACAAATAATCAATACGTAGAGAGTTCCAAGATGAGCCACTACAGTATTATGAACATTTTTCTGATGGTCTTTGTTGGATGTTTTACAATGGGGGAAGCAAGACCTCCATGCCCATGTTCAGACCCTAAGTTCTGCCAACCAATAAACAACTTGGGATCTCCTTCCGATGTGCCAAGACGAGAAGTATTTATCTTCTCACTTTCCAAAACAAATTGGAAGCTCTATGACTGGGATAAAGTCACCACAGTAGTTATGGTAGGGTATTACAACCCAGAGCTGTTATGTTACGCTCACTCTAAAGGTGCTAGGGCCGTTGCGATCGCAAATATTCCCAAATCAAATTTAACATCACCTGTACTAAGAGAGGCCTGGATACAGAAAGAAATCAAGTATATCCAAGATAATTACTTAGATGGAGTGAATGTGGACTTTGAGGATGCGATTGAAAAGGATGATGATAAGACTAGAGACGGTCTCACTGCACTAATGAAGGGTTTATATAATGGACTGAAACACCTAAATCAAAACTACCAGGTGACTTTTGATGTTCCTTGGGCTCCTTACTGTATCGATGGCAGGTGCTTTGATATTAATGGTCTTGCAACTTATACAGACTTTCTGTTTGTGATGTCATATGATGAGCGCAGTCAAATCCCGTATGAGTGCATAGCATGGGCTAATTCTGCTATCAATACAACCAAATTTGGTCTTATGCAATATATCCAGAAATACTCGCTCGAACCAAGTCGACTGGTATTAGGCGTACCCTGGTACGGATACCATTACCCATGTGAAAAATTGGTAGGCAATAAATGCTATATTAAGAAAGTACCTTTCCGTGATGTAAACTGCAGTGATGCTGCAGGTCGAGAGATCAATCAAGATACCATTCGCGACTTCTTGTTGTATAACACTACAACGAAGACACCTTTATGGGATGACATCGCTAAATCACCATATTTCACCTACCACGCGACTGATGGCAGCCCATACCAAATATGGTATGATAATCCCAGAAGTCTAACATTGAAGTATGATTTTGTTGATCAGCTGGGTTTGCATGGAGTTGGGATGTGGAATGCTGATGCTTTGGATTACTCCCTTACTCCCGTAGGAGAAAAACAGAGAAAGGAAATGTGGGGAGCATTGCCAAATTACTCCCCCAGAAAACAAGAAAACGATTCAAATGACATTCCAGATATCTGATGCCACAATTGAGAAAACTTATCAAATTGATTTCAGTATTGATTACATATCGAAATAATACTCAAAAATGTTTAGTCTATTACTCTATCTGTACAGTAAAATCTGTCTTAGTGAATGCCTCTCTCTAGTGAGCACCTATGTTTAGTGACCAGCTCATCAAGACACATTTTACATTAACTCGTGTATAAAATCCCCTCCCTGTAATGGACACCTACCTACAGTGAACACTTTTCTATGGTTCCATAGATGTTCACTTCATACAGGTTTAACTGTGTATACGCCAAGTTAAAAATATTATACCAGCCTGCAATTTTATCATCAATAGATTTCGATACAGACCTTAATGTTTGTAAATACCAAAGCTTCAAAATAATTCCTTGTATAGAAAGAGGCAAACTGTCATCTAGTAGATCTTAAAGGGATATTTTTCCTGGTTTACAGGATAAGTGTGCCAATTTAGTCTATTGTCGGTGATGGTAAAAGGTTATTATGATTTTTGGTTTATTTTAGAACTTAAGGAACCAACCTATTTTACTTATATTTTATTACTTAATTGATATTACTTAAAATAATATACTTACTTTCATTTTTGTTCTTAATTTGGTATCTACTTTAAAATTGCATTTTGCTGCTTTTTGTAGAACATGTATATGTACATATTGATTGTTATACAGTAAAACCTGTCTAATACTATCTGTATGGGAAAAATGTTCAGAATTGCAAGTGTTCTTATTCAAGGTTTCTTAAGCAAGGGACTCAATGGGATATTGCAAAATTGAGGCTTATTAATTTGTTCATTTATACAGGTTCAGATATACAGGTTTTACTGTAAACAGACTTTCAAAAAGAAATAACATTGCCAAATTAGTGTTCTAATTATATAGTTTAATAGTTTAATGATAGTTTAGGTCCGTTTGCAATGGAAAGGGTTCAATATAAATGGATTGAAAAGTTAGAGCTCAAATATTGGGCAATATGTCAAGGAGGATTGGCTCCCAGGATTGAAACTCAATATTGAATGAAAATGTTGAAATGTCGTTATTTATTATCACCGACTATAAATTCAAAATAAACAGTTCAAAAGATTGGAACCAATATCTCGTTCATTTCTTGTGAGTTATTTAATTTTTCATTAGGAAATAAAACCAAAATTCACGATCCAAATGTTGAAGGGAAGAAAATGGCGGCTGTCTAAATTCGAATTTTGTATCATGACATGACCATATATGGCACAGAATATCGATGTTGCACTCTGGGAGCCAATCCTCCTTGGCAATAGGAAAAGAATGCTTACTATTATTGCCATAGAAACAACAGTATACAGTCATAGCATTCCATTTGCATACAGGTCTTATTGTATACTGTACTTGAAATAATTAGCGATTTAGTTTTTATACCAGATTTATGGCGTTAGAAATTACTGTTATGAATTTCAGTTATATTTTCACATGTTGAATTATGTCTATTATGATTAATTATATTATAGTGTGTGAACTATTAAATATTTTTGCTAGATAAGATTTATATTTTCCCTACCTTGAGGTTTAATATGCTTGTGTGTGCAGTTGCAATAATTTGATTTTTTTTATTAAATAAAAAATAATAGCAAAGCTTACAAATTGTGTTTTTATTTTCCCATTATTATACAGGATTCAGTAAAACATGATGAAAAATTGTTGAAAGTATAGGGTTGTCCAAAAAAGGCAACCCTGCAATTTCTGCCATTTTTATCACCTTGTACATTTACATGAAACTACGAGATCACGAATACAATGCACTAAAGTTGTTGCATTCCTTAGACATTTTAAGCTTAACTCTATGATTACTTTTGTCATGATTGTGAAATATTTATTTGAGTAAGTTGATGTTCCATCATTGTCATTTACTTCAGCATATATGTTAAGCTATGTTATAACATTGAATAGAGGTTTTTAGGAGAGCCAAGGAGGTTATTTAGTTGTTATTCCTAATTCTAGAACATGCCGAATTTCAAAAGCATACCATATATGAGCATCAGAAGACCTTTGATCCAAACCTCATTTTCTGTAAATATTACTGTTTGAAAGAATACTATACTAATGTAGGAAGGGAATAAATCTCATTATGAAAACTTTAAGGTTTGCACGCACCTCTATAGTTTTGGGATATTACCTCTCACTTACAAGACACATTATTTCTAAACCTTCGGTATTTATAGTGAAGAAATTAAGTTGTTTGGAGTTAGAGTTGAAGGGCCTTTTAAAAGGAAATTGCATGTTATCTTAAGATAGTGAGATGTCAACCAAAGTCACATCTCAGACGTAAATACAAATGCCCTTTCAAAATGGTTCAAATTAAACTTGAGACAAGATAAAAAGCATGTGATTGTCTTTATTCAAGTGTTTTGCATTTTAAGTTACAAGTTTTAGATTTTTTTTTTAATTTTTAATTTTTTTATTTCTCTATTCAAACAGTACAAGTACAATAATTAGAACAGTTCAGATATTTTTAGTTCAGACAAGTTTTAGATATGAATAAAGTCATTCTCTCAGAGATGGGTCAAGGGGAAGGTAATAGGGCCAAACAGAATTTTGGTCAACTAAGAGTCCATCCTTTGATAATGATATTAAAAGTTACCAGAATGTCTAAAAATTGTACTGAGTGATATAAGTAGAGGCAAATAAATATTTGATGAGGACCAAAATTTCCAGATGGGGCCCTCATTATGCACTCTACCATAACCTAAGTACAAAAAAAAATCACAAAATGAGAGCATTTTTATCAGAGTATATGGATCGCCCCTTGTATTACAGACTTCTTAAAATATCCTCTTTATCCCCCTATATCATGGACCTGCCCTCTGTATCTGCCCTTGCTGGTCATATCTTTTGAGACAATAGTGTGTATATACAGATATACAAGGATGTTCATTTTAACCAGAACATATATTTCAAGATTATTATGTTAAGTTAACAGACTGATAAGACAATTTTGTAGTTTGAAGTCTCAATTGTTGCAGATCAACTATTGTGTATCATAAACATGATCTAAATTGATTGTAACATTGAACTAATTTCTACATGCTCATTTAGAAAAATGATTTATATCAGAGACACATAAAGCATTATACCCCATGGTCAGAGCAATATCAGCTATATAAAAGCAAATGATAAATCACATATTTAGGACATGGACGATATCAGGAATGATATCAGGTTTAGAGGAATGATATGAGGGATGATATTGATATCATTGGTTAAATTCATAAATTTTACAATTTTCCCCCAAAAATTCATTTTTTCAAAAAAGACATATTTTTCAAAATTTTTAGTTTTATCTAAAATTTTTCATTTTTTCGAAATTTTTCATTTTTCAAAAAAATAATTTATGCTCTTGACCATGTACAAGGCTGTTATTCACCTGTCGGGATGATATGGGTAATATCCCTCGGATGATATTGATATTTCCCTCGGTCACTGAGTTCCCTTGGGAAATATCGATATCATCCTTGTGATATTCCCCATATCAGATCCCTCCTGGTGAATAACTACTTTTTATATGTCTCTGTTTATATGTAGGTCTTACTAGATTACAGAGAAAAAGTAATTTATCGCTATCTTTTTTTCCAGACATAATCAGTACATGGGAAGCAAATAGATAAACTATGACTCTTGGTGTATTTCCAGATCATACCAAGTGGAAATCTAACCCTATGAGGATATTGAACAGTTGAACAAAATAATGGCAAGTAACTAACCCTGTGGGGATATTGAACAAATAGACTATTTGTTGCAAGTAATGAACCCTGTGAGGATATTAAACAGTTGAACAATTTATGACAAGTAACAAACCCTGTGGGGATATTGGACAGATAGACTATTTGTTGTAAAAATGAACAGTCTGAGGATATTGAACAGTTAAACAGTTCATGGCAAGTAGCAAACCCTGTGAGGAGATTGAACAGTTAGACTATTTGTTGTAAAAATGAACCCTCTGAGGATATTGAACAGTTAAACAGTTCATGGCAAGTAACAAACCCTGTGAGGATATTGAACAGATAGACTATTTGTTTCAAGTAATGAACCCTGTGAGGATATTGAACAGTTGAACAATTTATTGCAAGTAACAAATGCGTTGGGGATATTGAACAGATAGACTGTTGCAAGTAATGAACCCTGTGAGTACACTTAACAGTTAAACTGTTCATGGCAAGTGACTAACCCTGGGTGGATATTAACATGGTAGCATTACGTGGCATTAAACAAACCCAGGGGGTCATGGCATTGAAACCCTTTGTGATATTTAATTGTTCATGGCAAGCTACTACACAGTCAGGAGACACTGAACATTGAACTATTTATAAGAAAATAAACCATTGGACAATGAATATTAGTTACCATGGCAACATTGACATGTCTGATGATGATGAATCAGTGAAAGATGGAGTGGATAATAATGATGGTGAATGCAACTATGCAACTGAACCTTTCAAACAAGAATTCATAAAATCTTTTGAAACTTGTAGAACCAAATCAGATACAGGATTCGACGAGAGAACAATGGAAAAGTATGACATTGAGAACCCCCTTGTACAGAGAGTTTACCCCCCATATAGGACTGACCACAATGAATCTCCAAGTGAAGAAAAATCAACAATTGCTAATAAGTCATTTCAGTGTAATTACTGTACAAAATGTTTTACACAGAAGTTTTTGCTGGTGAATCATGAGAGGATCCATACTGGCGACACCACTTTTAAATGTGCCACATGTGAAAAATGCTTCACTAAGAAAGGCAATTTGAAAAGTCACCAAAGAATCCATACTGGAGAAACTCCTTTCCAGTGTTTGTTCTGCAGAAAGTGCTTTGCAAGGAAAGACCTTCTGAAATATCATGAATTAACACACACTGGGGATACACCTTTTAGGTGTAAAATTTGTGACAAAAGTTTTACAAGAAAAGAAAGTATGAAAACACATGAAAAGATTCATACAGATGAAAAGAAATTTAAATGTGAACGTTGCAAAAAATGTTTTACGACTGAGAGCTATTTGAAGGTCCATGAGAAACATACACATCTAAGAATCTTACGTTTGGAATGTAAATACTGTGATAAGACTTATACTAAGAAACACAGTTTAATTGAACATGAGAGAATCCATACTGGAAACAGACCCTTTGAATGTGATTTTTGCCATAAATGTTTCACATCTAAAAGTACCTTAAAGCAGCACAAATTGCTCCATACTGGAAAACCCCATCAATGCCAACACTGTGAAAGATCATACACCAAACAAAGTGCATTAAAAATACATGAAAAAAGAAGACATACAGAGAAATGTGAATATTGTGACAAACGCCGGGCTGATCAACATATAAAAGCTTTATGTGGAATAATTTCCTCCGAAGATAATTGTTTTCTGTGTTCACACTGTGGGAAATGTTTTTACGAGGAGAAACCTTTCGAATGTGCACATTGTGAAAAGACATTTACTCGGAAAGACAATTTGAAAAATCATACAAAAATACATACTGAAATTGACACTTTTAAATGTGAATTCTGCGGAAAGTGCTTCACAAGGAAAGATAGTTTTAAATCCCATGAAAAGATTCACACTGGTGATGATACATTTAAATGTAAAATATGCAGCAAATGTTTTACCAGGCGGGATAATCTCAGAAAACATGAACGGATCCACACTGGAGAAAGTCCATTTTCATGTACAATTTGTGACAAATCTTTTACGAGAAAAGATACCTTAGACAAACATGCAAGAAATCACACAGGGGACAGATCATCTTTCAAGCATGAAAAAGATTCGAAGATTCATAAGCAGCATAAGACTTACAAATGTAAAATCTGTGGTAAAACATTTCAGAGAAAAAAGAATCTAAAATATCATGTTAAATTCCATGCTGAGGAAAACATGAAATGTGAAAAATGTGATAGGATTTTTATGAGTAAAGAGATGTTCCAGCAACACTTGGCCATGCATGAGAGAGGAGATGCACTTAGACCAGAAGCATTAATTGATAAAGATGATGTCCCAAGTGAAGAAAATCATAATGGAAGACCTGAAGAGAAATTAGACACATGTTAAACCTGGGTGTCATTTCAAGAAAATTCGTAAAGCTAAGGATTCCTAAAATTTATCGTTCTCATGGTCAGATGGTTGGAATTAAATATTTTTAACTTTACAAAGTTTCTATTCATGACCCCCCCCCCTTTGCCAATGAATCTTTGTTTGATGATATGGACTGATGAACATGTTTTTATAATAGCTGCATACCCTTATAAAAATTCAACCTTGAAATTCAATAATGGTATCATTGGAAAGGAGCAGGGAAAGTATCGCAACAGACTTTTGATAATTTTGACAGTTGATAATTTTTTTGTGAGTAGTTTCTGGCTGTAAAAAGTAAATGCTTGGGAAAGGCGAATCTATAATCTTCAAGAAAAGTTCAAAGAATAGTTTCCAGATCAATTGGATTATCTTATAATCCATGTTTAATCCACCTATCAACAAGCTTTTTCAAAATACATTCGTCATTTTCACTATCGTCCCTCATTTTTTTTACAATTTTTCATGCAAAGTTACATTGTACTTGAACACATGTTTCATCAAGTAAAATATGTAAGGAACTCCATGAAGTTTGTTTTTGAGTTTTTTTTGAAAAAATGAACCTCTTAAAATGCATGTTTACAAAAATAATTTAGGAGTGATGTAAAAGATGGCAATGTTTTTCAATAATAACATGCATAGGTGGGTGAATTACTCATGTGTGTTGTGTTTTAATCCTGCATTCACTGACTGAGTTAGCCTATTGAAAAATCGTAGAGATTAATAATACAAACAGTAATACTATGAATACTTCTACTTCAAGCTCAAATAGCGCTTTCAGGGTGATACTAGATCACCTTATGTGCATGAATTTTCAAGAGAAACCATCAGTGCAAGCAATTAAATGAAAGCATCATCCGAACATCACTTGAAAAGTACTAAAGTGGTGAAAAATTGCAGGATGTTGACAGAAAATGTGCCTAGGGGAGAGGGTCGTCTCTCAACCCCCCTCCACCCCCTCCCTGATCACGGGACTAATACATGTGATATGGCAAAGTCCAATTCATAGATTAAGTTTCCCTTGCAGTCTTGTTGGCATTTTTATTAGAGTTCATGTTTTGTTTATGTTAATGGGTGAGTGGAAGACCCTTGGGTGGGAATCAAATATAAAATGTTTTCTAAAATATATATTTGAAATACTTTGTGTATGTACAGTCACAAACTCTAGGCAACATTAACTAGTAATGGGGCAACACCCCAACTCAACTGAGTGAATGTGTAAACCATTTAAGGAACAAAAAACATTACGTAAAACAAACTCAGCATGCAAACATGTAAAACTGGCATGGCAAAACAATAGATAGTAAAACTGAATAATAAAAGCACATACGACTAGAAAACAAGGGATTAATGAACACTGGTGTAAAGTAATGAAGGGACCTGTTAAAATGACATGAATGGGGATTGGTCAATTTGAATAGTAGAAATATAAAAAATGTGAAAATTAGCCAGGTAGAGGGGGAGAGATAAAGGGAGCTGCTGCTCCCCCAAGAGATTCTTTCAAAATGATGCAGTTTCTCACCAATCTGAGCACTTCGCATGATTTTTTAGCCAAAACTGTCAAAAAGTTCATCCTTAGGCAAAAGCTTTGCCCTTGGTAAAACTGCTCCTACCCCTTGGTAAAAGCTGGCTACAGACTGTGTAAAACACTTGTGTGAGAACTTGAACATGAACGAGTACTGTTATGACCCCCAGTAATGTTGTCCATCTCTCAGCTGGTTTAACTGGGGACCATTACATCAATTGGCATTATATCAATCAGGCAACAAAAAGAGGCCAGTGATGTGAAAATAGTCAATAGCACGGTGTTATAGCATGACGGTTACGCCACCTCTGAAAACGAGGTTGGACAGCTACGTTCACTAATTTATCCAATAAAATGGCCGCGATGGAAGAGAAAACTAAGGTTGGCGCATTATTTTCTATTTCTGTGTATCAATGAAAGGATGAACGATTTATGTAAAAATCGCATTCGGTGATACTTTCAGTAATGTATATTTTGAATGTAGCCTTTGCAAATTGATGCCCGGGGATAACATGAAATAAGAGAAAAACTGTCGAGTTTGAAATTCAAAACTACACAAAAATTTAGTAATTTGTTTATTTTTGTTTTTGTTGTTAGGGCATGGTCTACATTGCCTAAAAACCTTGTGGTATATAGATGTAACCTACATACGATCATACAAAGCCAATTGAGCATTGGAAACCACCTATGTTCTACTCAAGCCATAATAATGTATTTTGAATTTGCAGTAGTTATACACAGTTTACTTATACTTACAGTTAATATTTTGAGTGGCTCATGTACTGAGACAACACGAGAATGGACCAAATATTATAAACTTTGATATCTCAGTCGGTAGGTTTACAGATTATATTCTGTTTCTTGTAGACCACCTGGCAGATTTGACCCAGTCTTTATAACCATCCATATATACGTCACCGAATGGAACTAGTTTAAAAGGAAATCTTATCTGTGAATATTTCCTACAGGCGAGAAAGAGGACATGCTGCCTTTCCCATCCGCCATTTTTTGTTATCGTTACCGCAAAATTTTGCAAATCGCCTTGACGTAACCGTCATGCTATAACACCGTGAATAGGGGACCATAAGTTTACACATTCCATGTGTACGATCATCAAAATAGTGCGATCTTAACCTCCCTAATAACAGAAATTGTTGACTCAACCAATAGAATCATTCTATGTTTGTTTATATTTGTTCACATTAATATGGAAGAAAATCGGACATTTTGCTAAAAAGATGTTATTGTAAATCTTAGAAATAATGATAAAGGTAGTATACACCACACACTCAATGGTATTGATTGTGGTTTTCAGAGACTCTCAATAGGGACTTTAAGCTTGCAATGTTTTTCACAACCTAAATGTGAATGGAAAATATTTAGCGATGCATTTGTATGGGCGATTGGTCATAGGTTGGCGTTTCGATTTTATATGCAAGCTTAATCTCCCTAATGTTAACATTAAGGTAAGAGTGTATGTTACTCATAACATTTTCTTAGGATAACATTTCTTGAATTGATGAATATGCAAAAATTATTCTTAGCATATCATCCTTCATTTCATTATTTGAATAATCAATCTGGAGATAAACTCAAATAAGGAAGTGTGTTATAAAACATCATCATATATGTTCAATGTTTTTTCAGAAGCTGGATCAAAATATTTGTCTTACTAAAATTATTGGCAAAGGTATGATGTACTAAATTCTTGTACTGTATTTATGATTTTAATAGCACTGTACCTCGTGAATCATTACTGATAAACAAGATACAGAAAACCTGTTCAAAGTAAATGCTATAATAAGGCATCATAGAAATTATCATAAAGAGAGGTATTTAGAATTTCTTAGCACCTTATAAATAATAAAAAAAGAGACTTCTACAAACCATCAGTGTAAAACTTACAAGTGATAGCACAGTGTGAAAAACAAGCACCAGAGACTAAACAAAGGTGGCATCAAAGCACCTAGTACAGATGGATATAAACAAACAAACAAAGCAACTTACACACACACGCACGCACGCACGCACGCACGCACGCACGCACGCACGCACGCACGCACGCACGCTCACGCTCACGCTCACGCTCACGCTCACGCTCACGCTCACGCTCACGCTCACGCTCACGCTCACGCTCACGCTCACGCTCACGCTCACGCTCACGCTCACGCTCACGCTCACGCTCACGCTCACGCTCACGCTCACGCTCACGCTCACGCTCACGCTCACGCTCACGCTCACGCTCACGCTCACGCTCACGCTCACGCTCACGCTCACGCTCACGCTCACGCTCACGCTCACGCTCACGCTCACGCTCACGCTCACGCTCACGCTCACGCTCACGCTCACGCTCACGCTCACGCTCACGCTCACGCTCACGCTCACGCTCACGCTCACGCTCACGCTCACGCTCACGCTCACGCTCACGCTCACGCTCACGCTCACGCTCACGCTCACGCTCACGCTCACGCTCACGCTCACGCTCACGCTCACGCTCACGCTCACGCTCACGCTCACGCTCACGCTCACGCTCACGCTCACGCTCACGCTCACGCTCACGCTCACGCTCACGCTCACGCTCACGCTCACGCTCACGCTCACGCTCACGCTCACGCTCACGCTCACGCTCACGCTCACGCTCACGCTCACGCTCACGCTCACGCTCACGCTCACGCTCACGCTCACGCTCACGCTCACGCTCACGCTCACGCTCACGCTCACGCTCACGCTCACGCTCACGCTCACGCTCACGCTCACGCTCACGCTCACGCTCACGCTCACGCTCACGCTCACGCTCACGCTCACGCTCACGCTCACGCTCACGCTCACGCTCACGCTCACGCTCACGCTCACGCTCACGCTCACGCTCACGCTCACGCTCACGCTCACGCTCACGCTCACGCTCACTCTCACTCTCACTCTCACTCTCACTCTCACTCTCACTCTCACTCTCACTCTCACTCTCACTCTCACTCTCACTCTCACTCTCACTCTCACTCTCACTCTCACTCTCACTCTCACTCTCACTCTCACTCTCACTCTCACTCTCACTCTCACTCTCACTCTCACTCTCACTCTCACTCTCACTCTCACTCTCACTCTCACTCTCACTCTCACTCTCACTCTCACTCTCACTCTCACTCTCACTCTCACTCTCACTCTCACTCTCACTCTCACTCTCACTCTCACTCTCACTCTCACTCTCACTCTCACTCTCACTCTCACTCTCACTCTCACTCTCACTCTCACTCTCACTCTCACTCTCACTCTCACTCTCACTCTCACTCTCACTCTCACTCTCACTCTCACACACACACACACACACACACACACACACACACACACACACACACACACACACACACACACACACAGGTTTAACTGCACTCAAACATTAAACAGTCAACTTGACAGGTATTCAGAATTTTTGGGGAAATGCTGCGGTTATGCTCCATTGATTAAACAGGGGATCAAACAGCAGGGGATCAAACAAGTCCAACCATTCATTTATGAAAACATTTTGAACTAACTTTATGGCACACTAATGACATCTTATATGAGTGTGCTGTACTAAAAGCATAGCTTTTAGATCCCCATTGGATCCCCTTATATTGGATTATCATAATCCTAATCCACGAGGAGTTCCTTATATATTTTAAGTGATGAAACATGTGTTCAAGTACAATGTAACTTTGCATGAAAATTGTAAAAAAAAATGAGGGACGATGGTGAAAATGACGATTGTATTTTGAAAAAAGCTTGTTGATGGGTGGATTAAACATGGCTTATGAGATAATCCAATTGATCTTGAAACCATTCTTTGAATTTTTCTTAAAGATTATACATTGGCCTTTCATATGCATTCATTTTTGTACAGCCAGAAACTACTAGAAAAAAATTATTTACTGTCAAAAATCTGTTGCGATACTTTCCCTCGCTCTTTAATGTAACCATTGATATTTAGATCAAAGGAAAAAACATTGTTTAAATAGTAAAAACCATTGCTCAATCATCATTCTAACCAAGTTTCAACCATTTTTAAAATGAAGTTTAAATGAAACTATTGCAACCATCACTGATTTCAACCATTTATTGGTTACTGCAACCATTGTATAACATGATAATATTTATTACATAAAATTCAATTCATCGAGAAAACATATAAATCTATTTTGCAATTTATTGCATATTTTAAATATTATGTATCATGTGTCTATACATACAATGTATTCATGAGGTGATTGTTATAGAACGAACATTTTTATCACATTTTGAAAACGTGCAATATTGTTAATTGTGCTGCTTGGTGTGGTGTGGGTGGCGGCTACATAAATCTTGTCAACAAAATATATACAAATGCAAGAGTAGACTATTGCCAAGATCTGATTCAGATGGCCAAGATCTGATTCTGATGGCCAAGATCTAATTCAGATGGCCAAGATCTGATTCTGATGGCCAAGATCTGATTTTGATGGCCAAGATCTAATTCAGATGGCCAAGATCTGATTCAGATGGCCAAGATCTGATTCTGATGGCCAAGATCTAATTCAGATGGCCAAGATCTGATTCTGATGGCCAAGATCTGATTCTGATGGCCAAGATCTGATTCAGATGGCCAAGATCTAATTCAGATGGCCAAGATCTGATTCAGATGGCCAAGATCTGATTCAGATGGCCAAGATCTAATTCAGATGGCCAAGATCTGATTCAAATCTAGGCAATAGTACTTGATTAGGTTTTGGGTAAACTTGGTTAAGGACAAAGTCTCAGTTTGGAGAACTGTTTCCTGGGCTAATAATTTTTCATGAAAAATATTGAAATATCACCCAAATTAAATAATGAATATTCAAAAGAGGACATTTAAATCTACAAAATGTAAAAATATCAAAATTGTCCGAAGCAGGCTTAACGTGCAGTAGACCGATTCAATAAAAGTCTTGATTTGCAGAAAAAAGTTCATCAGTGTACTGCGCTAATAATTTCTTATGAAAAATATCACCCAAATTGAATTATGGGTATTCAAAAGAGGACATTTTAATCTACAATATGTAAAAATATCAAAATTGTCCAAAGCAGGCGTAACGTGCAGTAGACTGATGAACTTCGATGTGACTTAAATCTTCTGAATATATTGAATCGGTCCCCAAAAGATGTTAGCATTTTCCTTGGTGTTGCAAAAATAGTTCAGAGCTGCCTCAACATACTCCTGGTATGTTATTTTGCCATCCTCATCCTCATCAATGTAGTCAAACTGCCGTTTCATATAATTAGGGTCAAGGTCATAGGCATCCCAGAAAACCTTGTATTCATTTAGATCAATGACACCATCACCATTCAAATCAAGGACTCTGAACCATTTTGCAATATACTCGTACACATAGGGTCGGCTGTTCGGGTCTTGGCTGAAGTTGAACTCCCCGCGAAGCCATTCTGTTATATTGTTTGCGGTCCGAAAATAATGTGGTAGTTGGAGATTAAACATATGTACTTCTTCAGCTTTAGCTCCTTTAAGGTTTCCTGAAGTGCAAAATTATTGTGTTTGTAACTGCGTGGTAGTTGTTCGAAGTAAACAGAGCTCAAGTTGAATTTGATATACATATACGAGATATACCATATACCAATTTTCTTGTATGTACCATGATACATGTGATAACTGATAAACTATGTATTAGAAATGATAATTTACACCAATGGTTCAGGCCTCTATTTTTGTTTCATTTTGGAGAAATCTGTTTTTTGTTGTCAAAGTATCACATTTATGATAACATACCAGTCTATATCATTTGTCGAGTTTCCAAATCAAAAAATATACCGGGTATGTTGTCTACAGGGTGGTCTACCAGTACACCACTACAGGGTGGTTGTAATAAGCAGATTATATTGACATTTTACAATGTTAATGTATTCACCTGCTTTAATGAGCTTCTCAGCCGCAATCCTACAGTCATCTGTATCCCATACCCCATTTTTGTTGAAATCAGTCGCCATCACCTTTGTAACAGACTTCTTCAACCAAAATATCGGGATATCCTTAAGTTGACTCATATCTACTGCATATACTGACTTTGACGACATGTTTCATGTAAAATATCTCACTTTTCACCAATTTTCTCACTTTTTATAATTTGCAATCTTTCACAAATACTGACCTGCTGACTGTAGTCCAGATGTTTTAGGTTTGCAAAAATACCTGTAGTATCACATTATTAAGAACACACTTAAAATATTTAAAGCGTTAAAAATAAAACCTCAAAGAGGCGCTATGCCATAGGATAGCACAATCAATACCCCTCTGGACTTTTTTTGCAGATTGAGTTTCACCACTTATGTACCCATCTACTTACCAAAGAAGAAGTCCCAAATCCCCCTTTTCGGTGTTAATTTTGCGATTGTAGAAATTAATTCAATCTGAAGTTTGAATATACCAGGAAAGTCCTCCTGTTATCTGATTGGTCGTTGAATTTGTTTATCATAAACCTGATTGGCTGCCTGGTTCAAGGCGCTTGTGGCGCTTGTGTAACTCAATGGGGATTCCCCTCTCTAGCCGAGGAATCGATTGTGTTTAATTCTGGAGTTTCGTTGTTCTGTTGATTATTTCCGATGTTTCGGCAATAATATACCCAAAAGTTTTTCTCAAGATATATCGATGGTATGTGAGATATTATATGAGCAATAACAATAGGACATCATTGATTGTCTGGGGGAGAAACCTATGGCATAATGCATCTTTAAATTAACAAACTAATTTACAATTTCAACTTTGAAATTCAAAGCATTTATTTTATCAACCACTGCACAATACAAAAGATATTCTTAGTAATTTATGGTTTTATCTCTCAGTTGAGTAGCAGTGCATATCAAGTTAGTTAAGTTACATTTGTTTATACCATTCATAATGTGAAATTGTTCCCATTATATGAATTTAATGTCACCACCATAACCCTGCATCTGCAACAAATGTCAGGTGGTGACATTTTGCATGTTTATGCCTTGTTAGACTTTGGTTTTATTTTATTTATTTAAATCCGAATTGGCGTACACTGTCTTTTGAGGAGTGCAATAAAATGCCTCATCATTTAGGCAACCACGCCTTTTATTATGTCCCCACCACATAGTGTGGGGCCATATTGTCGGCCTAGGCGCGTCCGTCTGTCCATCCGTACGTCCGTCCGTCCGTCTGTCCGTCCGTCTGTCCGTACGTCCGGGAGTTTTCTCCAAAACCGCTACACATATCACCTTCAAATTTTCAGGGATAACTTATGAGTGCATACAGATGTGGATGAAAATTTTTTAACTCGATACCTTCTTCCTGTCGGCCATTTTGAAGTCAAATGCTAAAATCCTTGTCTGCAAACTTTAAGAAAAACGGCTTCACAGTTGCTTTTAAAACTTTAACATCTTGTTCAGCTCACTTCATTCTAGATCTGATTAGGTTTTGGACCTGTTAGCTCAGTCATGTCAGCCATTTTGAATGTCTTAAGAAAAGTTAGCGCACGATAATACTTTGTATCATATTGAATGGTGTTTTTCAGTTTTCATACTTTAACTATTTAGTAGCTTTATAAATAATTTCAGATCTACTTTGTTGTAAAAGCCTATGTTATTGTTAACAATAGTAATATGTGATAATTTTGTAAGAAGAAATCAGCAAAAACACATAATCACTTTTTTATTGTCGGCCATTTTGGATTTTTCCGTCCTAAAATCTTGTCTGTGAAGTTTTGTCTACGTGTTTTCAGGTGAACCGTTTGGTGGATCAATTTCAAATTTTCAGGGATGATTCTTAGTATAAAAATCTAGATCTGATTTGTTTTTTGGCATTCTGGGTAAATGTCAAGGCAGCCATTTTGGATTTTCCGTCCTAAAATCTTGTCTGTAAAGTCTTGTCTACGCGTTTTCAGGTGAACCGTTTGGAAGATCAATTTCAAATTTTCAGAGATGATTCTTAGTATGAAAATGTAGAACTGATTAGTTTTTTGGCATTCTGGGCAAATGTCAAGGCAGCCATTTTGGATTTTCTGTCCTAAAATCTTGTCTGTAAAGTCTTGTCTATGCATTTCCAGGTGAACCGTTCTGTAGATCAATTTCAAATTTTTAGGGATGATTCTTAGTATGAAAATCTAGATCTGATTAGTTTTTTGGCATTCTGGATAAATGTCAAGGCAGCCATTTTGGATTTTCCGTCTTAAAATCTTGCCTGTAAAGTCTTGTCTACTCGTTTTTAGGTGAACCGTTTGGTAGATCAATTTTAAATTTTCAGGGATGATTCTTAGTGTGAAAATCTACATCTGATTAGTTTTTTGGCATTCTGTGTAAATGTCATGGCAGCCATTTTGGATTTTCTGTCCTAAAATCTTGTCTGTAAAGTCTTGTCTACGCGTTTTCAGGTGAACCATTTGGTAGATCAATGTCATATTTTCAGGGATGATTCTTAGTATGAAAATCTAGGAACAGATTAGTTTTTTGACATTCTGGGTAAATGTCAAGGCAGCCATTTTGGATTTTCCATCCTAAAATCTTGTCTGTAAAGTCTTGTCTACATGTTTTCTAGTTAACTGTGTGACGGATCAATTAAAATTGTGTTGGTAAAGTCTTGTCTACTCATTTTCAGGATAACCATTTGATGGGATCACCCATTGGTGGGGACATTTTGTACACATTTGTGTTCTTGTTTCTATCTGCTAACGTTATGTCTGAGGCTTTATCACTAGTCTGTAGTGATTGTATGATGTTATGTAATAAATTAATGATCAAATATACATTGCAGTTGTTATATTTATATTATTATCTATATATGATTGGAATTTCAATGGGAATTAGTTGTGTGTGTGTCTGTAGAAATACATTTTTTATTTGCAAAAAATTATTATTTATTTTGACCTTTTCCAAACATCACATTTTTAAACTTTAAACAAAAGTCTAGTATATATCAAATTAAGGAAAAGCTTTCATGAAATTGTTAAAAAAACTATTTGGAAAAATGTGAAGTAAAGTTCACACCATTCGTGAAAATTGCCTCACACACAGAGTTAAACAACAAAAAAGAAAATTGAAGGTTAACATAACAGAGGTATAATGAATACACAAGTGCAAAATAGACCTTTGCAATAAACCCTTCCACCTTTTGCTAAATCATAGACATGATAGAAGCTTTAATGAATTGGCTAGACTGATGATGTGATTTGTTGTATTTTTTCAAAATTATCAGTAATAAATAATGTGTGGATATTTCCATGTTGGTTGAGATCATGAGCTAGAGTTTTAAGACACATTAAACAAACCTATTCTACTTTTGCCTAATGGGACCCTAGTATGATTATCCCATAGAACGAAGTTCGGAGGGATATAGGGAACGCCTCCGTCCGTCCGTACGTACGTACGTCCGTCCGTCCGTACGTACGTCCGTCCGTACGTCCGTCCGTCCGTCCGTCCGGGCAATAACTCAAATACCGTTGGCCCGATTTTGTTCATATTTTGTACACATATACCCTTTGGGGGTAGAAGTTCTGCTCAAAAGCCAATTTTCAAAATGGCCGCTCATTTCAAAATGGCGGCCATTTTAGTGACGATTTTACAGTAATTTAGGTGCAATATGTAAAACTGTAATAGCAATATGTTTTAAATGTAAAAAAATTATAAAGGACATTAATAATGCTACAAATGTAGATATTAAAGAAGCACATGGCAGCCATCTTGAAAAATGGCGGCCTTTACTCGTCATTTTTCGATTTTTGCTGTAACTCAAAAAATAGTGGAGCGATTTTGTTCATATTTGGTATGTGAATACTATAAGCATGGCACACTGTCCTATGACACTTTTGGTAAAAGGCGGCCATTTTGAAAAAAAATTTGAAAAATGGCCGCCATTTTAACTTACTTTACTATAACTCGAAAAATAGTGGAGCGATTTTGTTCATATATGGTATGTGAATACTATAAGCATGGCACACTGTCCTATGACACCTTTGGTAAAAGGTGGCCATTTTGAAAAAAAATTTGAAAAATGGCCGCCATTTTAACTTATTTTACTATAATTCGAAAAATAGTGGAGCGATTTTGTTCATATATGGTATGTGAATACTATAAGCATGGCACACTGTCCTATGACACTTTTGGTAGAAGGCGGCCATTTTGAAAACAATTTTGAAAAATGGCCGCCATTTTAACGTATTTCACTATAACTCGAAAAGTAGTGGAGCGATTTTGTTCATATTTGGTATGTGAATAAGCATGGCACACTGTCTATTTCTAATGACGCTTTTGGTAGAAGGTGGCCATTTTGAAAAATGGCCGCCATTTTAACGTATTTTACTATAACTCGAAAAGTAGTGGAGCGATTTTGTTCATATTTGATATGTGAATACTTTAAGCATGGCATGGCATGGCCACCATTTTTATGTGTTATTTTAGAAATACGCGTGCGATTTTTCAAAAATTTTAGAGGTGGCTACTTAAAAGCATATTATTTCTTTCGATGACAACTTGGCTAGTGAGCAACCATTTTGAAAATGGTGGCCTTTCTGGTGTGTTGTTTTATGATATTTGCGCTTCGTTTGTAAAAATGCCAGCCATTTCTGTTCGATGGGATTCGCTACGCTTTGGCGTTGCTGTTGTTCTGGTTCAGGATATATCCCATATCCATCCCTCCCATAAACTCAATATCATTTAAACAGTTTAATATTTGCAATAAATTTCTTCAAACTTCAGATGCTGTGTGTGTCAACTGATATCCTTGAGCAAGAAACGAGACTAAGATTGTCATTATGCTATATGCAAGGAGAGAAGAAGGGCGGGAAATATCTATATTCTGTATAACAATGGCCACAGTTTTTAATTCCTCTGGTAGGTAAGTGAACAGATTTAGGGACATAATAAGACAAAGATATTATACATTATTCAGTAATAAGAATCGAAAACAGTTAATATTATGCTAATATTGACAAAGATATACATTATTCAATAATCAGAATCGAAAACAGTTAATATTATGCTAATAAGACAAAGATATTATACATTATGCAATAATTCGAATTGAAAACAGTTAATGCTAATATTGACAAAGATATACATTATTCAATAATTCGAATTGAAAACAGTTAATATTATGCTAATATTGACAAAGATATACATTATTCAATAATCAGAATCGAAAACAGTTAATATTATGCTAATAAGACAAAGATACACATTATTCAATAATTCGAATCGAAAACAGTTAATATTATGCTAATAAGACAAAGATAAACATTATTCAATAATTCGAATCGAAAACAGTTAATATTATGCTAATAAGACAAAGATATACATCATTCAATAATTCGAATCGAAAACAGATAATACTATTCCATAGAAAGTTGCTACTGTACTCGCTGTATTTTTCACTTGCAATTAAATTTCGCCATGGTAGTAAAATCGCCAAAAATAATCGTCACAAAATTTGCAAATTAAATCCATTGGGAATAATGACATATGGATATTGAATCATAGCTTTTGCCATATATTTTGGTGGGGTCTGGGTAACTTAAGATTACAAGGCTCGAGGATTCAGAGAACAATAACAAAATTTAAACTTGTGAAATATGCGAAATTTAATAGCGGCAAAATTATGATTTTTCAAAATTTATGAACTTAGTGTTGAAATAAACTGGAAGTACAGTTTTTACGAGGCATCGGGAAATGGTGATGTAAACCCTGAATATTTTTGAATATTTTGAGGTTATAAAACTTGTATAAAAAGGTTGATATTTATATGTATTTTTCTAAAATAACAATGCATGAGTATACATGTACGTGTATATGCATATTACAGCTGTGGTTTAATTATCTTGTATCGTATATTTACAGATGCATAACTTGGGCTGTTGTTAGAGTGCCAGATGTGACATAATGTTAGAATAGCAGATATGACATGATGTGTATTCACCAGTAAATATCACCTGCAAACAGCTTAAGATATTACAAGTTGCCATAATATATGCAACATGGCAACAACCAATGGGAGCCCTGATATACCAGCCAAAGAATCAGAAACCAAGACAAAGAACACTAAGAACATATTATTTAAATGCAAGTATTGTGGCAAGGAATGTAACAAAGAATACAACTTACAGATTCATGAAAAGCTACATACTGGAGAAAGGCCTTATAAATGTGACTACTGTGACAAGAGGTTTATCCAGAAGGGACATATGATAGAACATCAGAGGATCCACACTGGAGAGAGGCCATATGTATGTACATACTGCAATGAAGGTTTTGTAAGAAAGAGCAGCCTTGTTGATCATGTGAAATCTCATATTGGGGGTCCAACTGAAAAACCACACAAGTGTCAGTACTGTAAAAAGGGATTTAAGAAAAGGGGTGATTTGAAAGGTCATGAATTGATTCACACTGGAGAGAAGCCGTTTAAATGTCAATACTGTGAGAAATCATTCAATCAACGAGGTACCAGAAGGCAGCATGAACGCTTACACACTGGAAAACAATTTCAGTGTCAATATTGTGCAAAACGATATCAAACTAGGGACAATTTAGAAAGACATGAGAGACTCCATACTGGAGAAAAACCCTTTAAATGTGAAGTTTGTGTTAAATCTTTCACTTCTTCATACATGTTGAAAAGACATCAACAAATTCACGATCCTGGTGCTTTACTTTTTCAATGTGAATTTTGTGATGCAAGGTTTATTACTGCTAACACAATGGAAAAACACTTGAAAATTCATAACAAAGAGACACATTCCAATCAAAAACTTCATGCAGCTTTAGACAATAATGTAGATTTTAGTGAAACACTCTTGTCTGGTACCATTCAAAATGATTATGACAATGAACTTAAAGAAAATGATGAAAAAGAAAGATCTTTTGCTATGGATGCCGATGATCATGAGAACATGGAAGAATTCAATTCTGATGTATGTGGAATCACTATCAAACAGGAAAATATTAGTTCTGACAATGAAGATATAGTTGGTAGAGAACCAATGAATGCTGATTCAATACATGATAAAGCCCTGAATATAGAAACGATGAATGATGATTCAGTGCATGATAAAGCCCTGAATATAGAACCAATGAATGATGATTCAGTACATGATAAAGCCCTGAATATAGAACCAATGAATGATGATTCAATACATGATAAAGCCTTGAATATAGAATCTATGAGGAATGGAGAATTATTGTATGCCAGGGAAGAGATGGAAAATATATCTATTAAACAAGAAATTGAAGACACAGATGATTATGGTAATGTCAATGAAATTGGAGCTACTGAAATAAAAGAAGAACCAGTTGACTTTGAAAACAATGAATTTGAAACTAATGACCTGTATGGTGCAGAAACTGATGTTAATCACAAACCTTTGGAGACTGGTATTTATGATGAATATAAAACAAATGATGTTGTTATAAAACAGGAACATGTGGAAGTTGATGGGTGTGAGGACATCAACAGTTGGGATGTTGACGTAAAACAAGAGAATGACATAGATGTTGATAATGGATCTATACATAATGAAAGTATGTATGATTATGATACTACAGAGCATACAACTGAAGTGATGAATTTGATAAAGCAAGAAAATGTTGACAATGCTTATGAAGATGATGGTCTGTGGCACAGACCAGATGATAGTGTAGCTGGTGATAATGATCTTGATGAAACATATAATAGTCCTAATGAAAATGTCTCCCTCGCCCAACAGAAATGTGAAAAAACTCCAAAATCAAAAACTGTAAATCTCCAATGCAAATACTGTGACAAACTTCTTAGCAAAGAATATAATTTAAAAATTCATGAAAAGAGACATACTGGGGAGAGGCCATATAAATGTGGGTATTGTGAACGAACATTCATCCAGAAAGGACATATGAAGGAGCATGAACGATTACATACTGGCGAGAGACCTTTTAAATGTGAAGCCTGCGGCGAATGTTTCATGAGAAAATGTAGCTTAACAGACCATGAGAAAATTCATGATGGGACATCACAGGACAAACCATTCAAATGTCAGTACTGTGATAGACGCTGTAGAAAAAAGGGTGATGTCAGAGAACATGAGAGAATTCATACTGGAGAAAAACCCTTCAAATGTCAATATTGTGATAAATGTTTCAATCAGAGGGGGACTAGAAGGCAGCATGAATCCCTACACACTGGACTACGATTTCAATGTCATTTCTGTGCAAAACCTCACCAAACAAGGGATAACCTAAGGCGACATGAAATGACTCACACTGGGGAAAAACCTTTTAAGTGTGAGTACTGTAACAAAGGGTTTAATGCTTCAAGCGTTTTAAAACGCCACCAAATGATACATACTGGTGAGAGGCCTTTCCAGTGTGAATATTGTGTGAAGTTCTTTCCAACACAAACCACACTTAGAATTCACATTCGGACCCATACTGGTGAGAAACCATATAAATGTGACCAATGTGACAAATGTTTCAATTTAGGCACAAAATTAAAGGAGCATTTACTCATTCATAATGAATGTAAAGAGGTCTATAAATGTGAGTACTGTTTCAAAGCATTCATTAGGAAAAACAGTTTGAATTCTCATCTTCGTATCCATACTGGTGAAACGCCATTCAAGTGCAAATACTGTGAAAAAGAATTCAGTCAGAAAGGTTCTCTGAAAACACATGAAAGAAGAAAACATACTAGAGAGACTTGTCCTAGTGCTTCCCCTTCAGAATTTGAAAATCACACAAATGTAAACACAGGTGAAATCATTTCGCAATAATTTAGGAATAGCCCAAAATGTTATTTTTCATGTTACAAATAAGAATAAAGCATATACAGTACATGTATAAGTGGATTTAGAATGAGAAACGTTTTTTACTTTTAGTAATTGATTTGGACAACAGTTGGACAGACTTTTTTCTCAGTAGTAACCATGGTAACTATTTAACCAAAGGTTTTTACTTGAACCACTACTGATCTCCTTAATGACTAAATGCCCACTTTCCCCTAATATTCAAGTTTCATAAGAGCTAATGAAATTTGTTCATAACTTTATATGAATATGAAGCCACATCTGAGATATCCCAATGCACTGGCAGAGTAACAATCAGTGTTTCATCTATCAACGATAGACAATTGTCATCGCTTTCAAGTGTCTAAATAATGCTGTTTAGATTTACAATAAAACAATAAAGGCATTGTATGGTGCGTGGTAATTGACACGTTATGTAATCAACATTTTGATAAGATTGATTGTAAAAAGCTTTTAATATTAAAAAAGATAATCAACTAAATCCGTCCTTATCATGAGACTCACTCCATCAGTTTACTTACGTTAGATATGCGGGGTTGAAGTCAATTGCACTCCCATGCTAAGTCAATGCATGTGCTTTCAAGTCCATGGTCAATGGCAACCTTGCTGAAATCCTCATTTTCTCAGAAAAACTCAAGTTGATCGAGTCTCAACAAGTAGATTCATGTGGGAGAGTATTGCTGGAATCCGTTTTTAATAGTAGGAATAGGGGTTCTTAAACAGGACATACAGCTTAACCAAGGCCTTTTTGAAATTCTGGGTTTGTACTATACATAGTGACACGGTGTCGTTAGTTTTTTGTTAAGATGGTTTAGTCTGTGGTTTCATGCCAACATTGGTTCCAATAATTAAAAAAAAGTTACGATATTTTTAACTTTACTGTCAATTACAAAATGTATTGTAATGACTTCAGTATGAATGAAATGTCTCTTGGTTTTATGGTCTCTGATTGGTATTTGAATGGCGATTAAGGGAGGTGGTATTAGACACTGTTTCTTTTCACATTGATATATGATTTTGGATAGGTGGGGTTTGTTTTCCTTTTGACTGATGCAGTCTTACACTCTTAAAAATGAATTACTTGAGTATTTCCCAAGTATAAAAATTACTTAAAGTTAAATACTTAGTTTTACTTCATTTTACTTAGGTTTAACTTATGTATATTGTCATTTTGAGTTTTTTAATTGCTTAATTATGTAAATGAGTATTACAATTACTACAGTAAGTATTTCAATTTCTCTCCTTGCATTAGTAAATTCACCATAAATGAATTACTTAAAAATTACTTAAAAATTATTCAGTAGTTCACGATTATTTAAGTAATTTTTTACTTAAAATGAGTAGTACAATTTCTCAATATAAGGAAATCCAAGTAATAATTTTTAAGAGTGTAGATCTTTTTCCTTTTCTTGCTAACCATTTTTGGTACTTTCGCATTGGCACTTGCGCATGCCTGCATGCATATTTATGAAAATACACTTATTTATAAATTATAAAAATAAGAAACATGCCATAGGATTAAAAGAATGAACTTTTTTATTTCCATTTGATATTAGGCTATAAAGATGCTAAAGCTGCTAATGTACAGTTTTAATAGACAAAGAGTACCTGCCATTGAGAAACATCGTGTCCTTGTCAGTGGACAGGATATTTCAAAGGGAAATATTGCCACTCTGTCAAGCTACTATTTGTTTATACAGGGTGTCAAAAACAAAGGGACCCCTCAACAGTAAAGATCTCAGAGATACATGAAGACAAATTTCAAATAAAAGACCAATCCTAGTAAAAGTGTAACCCTTTCCTAATTTTAATTTAATGTACAGGGTGACCCAAAAAATGCCACCCACTAATTTTCGAATAACTTCCTCAATAATCAAAGAATCTTTATCATCAAGGAATGATTTTTGTTGTGTAAATAGAGTGGTCCATGGATAAAGATATCACCCTTTCCTTCCAGGCATGCCCTCGGTGAAATCGTCAAAAATATTATTTTTTAAAATTTGGATTTTTGTCTTAGCTATTATTTGAGTCATTTCTGGATTGCTTTCACATATAGTATCAATAATTTGTCAAGTTTGATGAACCTAGTAGCTAATTGGATTTTAAAGACCGATTTTCTAATTTACATGTTTGAGTGGTTTTGTGTCGGAGCATGCCTCCGCGAAAAATGAGAAAATTCCAAGTTGTTGATGCTATCCAAGCATACCAAACTCTTATCTATTAAACACTATCTACACATAAAAAAATCACGAAGATTCCTTAATTATTGAGAAAGTTATTCCAAAATTAGTGGGTGGCATTTTTGTGTCACGCGGTAATATATATCATGGTTGTGTTTGCCAGATCCAACATTCAAAATACACAAATATTTCAGATTAAAATTAAGTTATTTAATGGCATTATTGAAATAATGGTAGCAGAGTTATAGGATTATAATTTTGTTGAGATTTGATTATATAGAGTAGAGAAGGGAAGCGTCATTTTCCGTGGCAAGTCCAATTTTCTGGATGGCTTTCGGCAACAATTTGCAACATCTTTCAAGGTGGTGACATTTTGTCATGTTAATGCCTTGTTTCAATTCTATGTTCGTTATTTTTTCTGTGGTCGTTGTCCAATTCATAATTGATCATATTCTTGCCCTCGATTAAAATCCACACCATCTAGGTTTTGGGCCAAACCTAAAAGGGAGATTGCATTGACATTGCCAAGCATGAGAACTTAAGCGGCATTTTGATGGAACTCTGCGGCACGTTCCAGATGAGTATCCCTTGCAAATGCATCTGAAATCAGAGTTTTCAAGAGATTTTAATTTTCGCAGAGAATGTAGTCTTTCAGTACCAGGGACTCAGCCAGGATCTAAAATTTGCGAGGCAAATTATATTTGGCAGGGCAAATTTAAGGTTAAAGCCAAATAGCACTATCACATTGCTCCTTTTCAACATTTCAATTGAAAAAGACTGTCTGAATTTATATTTTCTATAAATTTTGGTGAGGCCTTGAGTACTAAATACTCTGTGTGTAAGAAATGAATTCCAGTATTTGTCTTGTGTCTTCCTATGTAGCCTACCTGTCATTGCAGCTTTGCCACAGAATTCCAGTGAAACCGCCACTCCATCTTGTACATCGGCTCCACTGATCCCAGCAATCGCCTAAAATTTAAAAAAATGTTAACCAATAAATCAGCGAGAAGAGATTTTTACTCAGGAATCAACCACACTGAATTGAAAACCAAACACGACACTTGAGAGTGTTCTTCGTAAGTTGCTCTAAGAGCAAAAACTATTTCAGCTGAATTCGTCCATGTTTAGACCTCCAATCCCCACCGACATATATCTTACGCGGTTTGTTGCGATGTTACTTTCTTTGTAAAAAAAGATGGTGCCCCCCTAGGGTTGGCCCAGAATATTTTTAGGGCCCCAACATTTTGTAGGGCCTCAAAAATGGGCCTTCTTAGGCATAACTTAGGCATAATATTTTAGGCCAGAGTATCATAAAATGGGCTTAAATTTTTTTGGGCCCATTTTTGGTTTTAAGATCCCAAATTGTTTATACTGACTTTAAAGTCGCCCCCCCCCCCTTGTTAGCTTCTGGATCCGCCAGTGCCAAATGTGATAATAATGGATAATCTTGAGTTATAAGATCCAACCTCCGGAAATCATCGGCATGGCCAATAGCAGACTTGCCAACCTCCCGTTTTTTTACGGGAATCTCCCGTAATTTTTTTGTTTTTCCGTAAAAAATACCAAACTCCCGTACCGTTTTCTCCCGTAAAAACTCCCGTAAACTCCCGTACCGTATTTCTACTAAAATCTCCCGTAATTTTTTTAAAAAATATGGCCGTAAAATCTCCCGTATTTTTGCTGAAATCTCCCGTATTCTGGTGTAACTCCCGTAAAATCTCCCGTATTCTTGGTATAACTCCCGTAAAATCTCCCGTTTTCTGGTATAACTCCCGTAAAATCTCCCGTATTCTTGGTATAACTCCCGTAAAATCTCCGTTTTTTGCTGTCGAAATCTACCGTATTTGAAAGGAATTTGACAAATTTGTGACCTTGATTATTGCAGGCACGCTTCTTTCTTTTACTCCAAGAAGGTTGGCTCCCATGGTTCACTATCGATACTTTCATAAATAACTTAAAAGTACTTCATTCCCATGATTCAAATTGCTTTTCTGCGATCAGTTCGGTATAAGTTTGCACACCAAATGTCCACAAACGGGGGCCAGTTCAAATTCTGTCATACTTCTGTCGGGAGAATTACATTTTGTTTTTATATGGCGCTTAACAAAATATTCCCGCAATATAAGGCGCATTATTGGTAGGGACTGCTGTGAAATAATGAACGTAAGTGACATCTATTTTAGATTATAAGTTCTAATTAATTTATTAACTGCGCATGCGTCATAATAATTTCAACCAATTAAATCGCTGGATTAAATGCTCATAAATCTACCGTAAAAACTCCCGTTTTTCAAAATCTAAAGTAGAAACTCCAGTTTTTTCAGAAATCTACCGTAAAAACTCACGATTTTTTCAAAATTTACCGTAAAAACACCCGTTTTTTCAGAAACCTACCGAAAGAACTCCCGTTTTTTCAGAAATCTACCGTAAAAACTCCCGTTTTTTCCGAAATCTACCGTAAATACTCCCGTTCTTTCAAAATCTACCGTAAAAACTCCCGTTTTTTCAAAATCTAAAGTAAAAACTCCCGTTTTTTCAGAAATCTACCGTAAAAACTCCTGTTTTTTCAAAATCTACCGTAAAAACTCCCGTTTTTTTCAGAAATCTACCGTAAAAACTCCCGTTTTTTCCGAAATCTACCGTAAAAGCTCCCGTTTTTTGAGAAATCTACCGTAAAAACTCCCGTTTTTCAGAATTTACCGTAAAAACTCCCGTTTTTTCAGAAATCTACCGTAAAAACTCCCGTTTTTTTAAAATCTACCGCAAAACCTCCCGTTTTTTCAAAACCTACCGTAAAAACTCCCGTTTTTTCAGAACCTACCGCAAAAACTCCCGTTTTTTTCTGAAATCTTCCATAAAAAAGTCACGTTTTTTAAAATTCACCGCGAAAAATACCTTTTTTAAAAAATCTCCCGTAAAAACTCCCGTTTTTTCAAAATCTCCCGTAAAAACTCCCGTTTTTTTTCAAAATTTACCGCAAAAACTCCCGTTTTTTTTAAATCTCACGTAAAAACTACCGTTTTTTTTCAAAAACCTCCCGTAAAACTCCCGCTTTTTTTCAAAAAACTCCCGCAAAAACTACCGTATTTTGAAAAAAACTCCCGTAAAAGTAATTTTTTTTAAATCTCCCGTAAATTTTTCATTTTAGGTTGGCAAGTCTGAATAGATAAAAAATAATCCATGGGTGTATAAAAGTGTCCCTATAATTACGAAAAAATGAAATGAAAAATAAAACATTTGTCCAAACCAATCTTCAACTACTAACTACTTTTTAAGTTATTATTTATTACCTGCTATCAGTATAATACAATAACAAGTTACTTTGACTTCTAAATAACACGAGACTAAATGATACAGGGGAAGGAGTAAAAGAAAAGTACATGTCAGTTTGAACGTATATGTTAGATCATATCTCATGACTCTTTCGAGGAATCTAGGGACCCTAGGCTGCGGTATTCAATTGCGATATGGTGTTTAGCGATTTATTTCACCATCAGTTTTTTATTTAAGATTGATTACTTGGCTGATTCAATAGTTCACCTTCATCAATCACGAGGCATAGTTTGATGTTTAAGACAAAATGATGGCACTACAAATCCCGATATATGGCACATTAAAGAATAGATATGACCTCCCAGAGGCCTGGGGGAATTTTTAAGATTTTTGTTAAAACAAACTTTTTATAGGTGAAATATTTTTAAAATATTTATCATCAGAAATCGGACATGACATGTTTTGCTATTTGTAACTATAGACCGTTGACGCTGAAACATTCATGCAAGTTATCTTGACTGAGCTTGTATTCGCGAATGCAACTTTCGGCTACCGGATTGATATCCTACTTATTTACGACCAATTCATTTAAACATATGGAATGGAATGGCAGGAACTACTATTCATATTTAAATAGTAGGTTAGTCCGACAGCCGTTAGTTGAATTCGCGAATATAGGTTATATTTCTATTTGACTATATTTGACTCGAGAGACTATTTGCATTAGTAAACTGCTGTGGCCTAGTGGATCCATGTAATGTGTCTGTTCAAATTGATTGATCGTGATCAAAAGGCATTGACGCAGTGTTTGGACACGGCGCGGACAGGACATTGAATTTTAAAAACCAGTTCCAGAACGTATGCCAGCTCATATCTTCAAACTCGGTTTCATGCCTCACAATATCAGAATATTTAACATATTTTTTAGAAAAATTTACATTTTCTCAGTATTTGTATGGAACTAATAACTACAATAATAGTATGTAAGTTTTGTCCGACCAAACGTTGTTTTTTGGAAGCGCATACCCATTTCCAGTAGTTTCGTCAGAAATAAACACTGGTCAACGAATCTATTTCCTCACTCCTTTAAATATATACAGATGTTGGTACCCAGACAATTTTCATTATTATAAGTCGGCAA